TTGTGGTGTTTTGAGATTTGTTGTTTTTTTTTTATTTAATATGTATTATGTGTAATACGATGGTTGTTTCAAATTGTTGTTGATGTTGTGACAATGGCGTTACAACCCCAAGCGGCAGCGACGACACACATAGAAAAGGAGACAAACACACACATGAGTACGTAATTACAAACATATGTATACTTACTTTATTTACATTTTAATAATAATTGCCATTTTTTGTAAAAAAAAAAACAGAAAGAAGATGAAGATAAATTATACACCAAAACATATTTTTTGCTATGTCTGCAATTTTTGCTTGACTTAACTTTAATACTAATACACTGAGGCAAAAATTCAATGAAAAAAATGGCAAATATTAAAATAAACAAAAGTTATTTTCCATCGGTTTTAAAAAAATCTTTCACTACTCAACACATGTTTACATTTTTACATCACAATATATAAGGTGCTCTATAATTATTAGCCTCGGCTTTAATGGGAGGTAGTGTTGTGGTTACAGATTACAATTGTGAAGAAATTTCGTGCCCCGGACCAGTTAATTACATACAGTAATTAAGTAAACATTGACTACATTCTGCATAATGTGGTTCACAAATTACGCGCGATGCGTCGCTTAGTCAATGAAAACAATTGCTATCTCTTTCCACGTGTACTGAGAATGAAAACGGAAATCAGCTGACTAGTTCGTCACTATCTAATCTACTAGATACTCAATAGGCAGGCTAACAAGGGTTTTAAAAGTTCAATTACTTACCAGGTACGGCATTCTTCCGAAAAGCTGATGTAGGTAAATAAGATTATAAACTTCCCATCACACTTAAAACAGTTTTTACACACTTTTACAGTTATTTACACACTCTCTACCTACTTATCTACAAAACTGTTGCACAAGTCCACCTTCGCGTTGCACACAAATGAAGGCACGCTTCCAAACATGTCATATCACATTATTTAACGTGTCCGTTTCCCTTTTACTTTATTTCGCGTTTGATTTAAAAGACGCCACAAGTTATTGTCTCTATCATCGTACACTCCGGCGGTATCCCTTGTGCTCGCAAGAGGATGACACCGAAAGAACTCTAACACTTCCTCTTTGAATTCTGATTTGAATTTCGTCGCCTGGAAGTCATTTTTACGTAGCGCGCGCGTATCCCCGACATTGAAACTAACGTGCGGGCAGGCAGGGGTTGACTGGGCTACTGGCGGCCGGGCGGCGCGTGCGACGAGTTCTGCTGGCTGGGGTGTGCTGTCTCGTTCTTGAACGACCGTCATACGCTGTTGCCATCCTTATCAGTAGCTCAACCCCGCCTGCCCGGCGGCCGGTTGACCAGCGCGTGCGACGAGTGCAGGAGAGGGTGCGGGCGCGCGGGGGTGTGCAGCGTGTTCCTAGCCGCCCGGCGCCGAGCGGTCTGATAAGGATAGCAACAGCGTATGACGGGGCGTTCAGGAACGAGACAACACACCCCAGCAGAACTCGTCGCACGCGCCGCCCGGCCGCCAGTAGCCCCGTCAACCCCTGCCTGCCCGGACGTTAGTTTCAATCTCGGAGATACGCGCGCGCTACGTAAAAATGACTTCCAGGCGACGAAATTGAAATCAGAACTCGAAGAGGAAGTGTTAGAGTTATTTCGGTGTCATCTTCTTGCGAGCACAAAGATACTGCCGGAGTTTACGATGATAGAGACAATAACTTGTGGCGTCTTTTAAATCAAACGCGAAACAAAGTAAAAGTGAAACTGACACGTTAAATAATGTGATATGACATGTTTGGAAGCGTGCCTTCATTTGTGTGCAACGCGAAGGTGGACTTGTGCAACAGTTTTGTAGATAAGTAGGTAGAGAGTGTGTAAATAATTGTAAAAGTGTGTAAAAAACTGTTTTAAGTGTGATGAGAAGTTTATAATCTTATTTACCTACATCAGCTTTTCGGAAGAATGCCGTACCTGGTAAGTAATTGCACTTTTAAAACCCTTGTTAGCCTGCCTATTGAGTATCTAGTAGATTAGATAGTGACGAACTAGTCAGCTGATTTCCGTTTTCATTCTCAGTACACGTGGAAAGAGATAGCAATTGTTTTCATTGACTAAGCGACGCATCGCGCGTAATTTGTGAACCACATTATGCAGAATGTAGTCAATGTTTACTTAATTACTGTATGTAATTAACTGGTCCGGGGCACGAAATTTCTTCACAATTGTAATCTGTAAACATAACACTACCTCCCATTAAAGCCGAGGCTTATAATTATAGAGCACCTTATATAAAAAAAAAAATTATTTCGTACCTATGGAAAATAATTTTGTAAAATTCATTAAAACTAACCAAATAACCAAAACTCGTTCGTATCAAAGAGTTTTTTATCACCTTTAGCAATATTAAAGTACCCAATATAAAGACATAAATATCCCAAAACTGTATAAAAACAAAAAAAAATGTATTTTTTTGTTGAAATTATTCCTTGTAGGTAAGTATTACAATTAAAATATACGTGTTCAACAATTGCTTTTAAATATCCTTTCTACGCCCTTAAAAGTGTACAATAATGTATCATATAAAACCCACTTATGCAAAAAACAAATAATAAAACAATAACGAATGCAGATTATAAAAAATCCCTTCAGTTAGCTATTCCCGAATTCCCATTCCCACCGAGAATTCCAAATTTCCCAGCGAGAATTTCTAAGTACTCAACGAAAATTCTTAAGTTCCCACCGAGAATTCCTAATTTCCCAGCGAGAATTATTAAATTCCCGACGAGAATCACTGAAATTGTAACCTACTGATATTAAATCATAATATTGTGACATTATCTCATTAAATGTTAACATTTTAAGCTTAAGGTACGAATAGACTACAGACACAAATTCTGACATAAATGTCATTGTATTGTAACTGTCGTGAGACATACTAAATAAATTATTATGTTTTCGGCTTATACTCACGTAATAAATTAATTAAAAATAATTTTAACGCGCGCGCTTTCTCGAATAGCCAGTAGCAGCGCAACAGTCGCCGGGTCGCGAATAGCTGCTCATGAATATGAACCTCTAGCATGGCTTGAAACTAGTCGAGTTCCTCGTCAAATTATTACGTGAGTAAGCCGAAAACATAATAATGAATGTCATTATTTAGATTAGAGTATGTATTGTTCACACTTAGGGCTCGTACACAAAACTGCGATGCGTTGCGATGCGAAGTTGCAACGCAAAAAATTACAATGCGAATTGCTGCGATGCGATTTCGTGCGACAAGCCGTCTCCCAGGGTGACCATTCCTTCGACGACCATCAACCGTACTAACCGTATTTTAAACTGAAAACTAGGTCGTGACATGGATCGTAAAAATAAGTGTGCACTTCTGTTATTGCTTAGGAGATACAGAAAAACGAAAGAAAGAAGATTTTGGGAAGATAAGATTTTGATGCGCGATGCGAATCAATTTGCAAGTTTTTTTTTTCTTTTTTTTTTAAGAAAACGTTGCCCCACACTAGGATTATCTCCTGTGTCGTGGGTGCGTTTACAAACATACAAGTTCACATACACATGACACCCAGACCCGGAACAACAATTTGTGGATCACACAAAGTGTTGTTCCGTGCGGGAATCGAACCCGCGACACGTTGCACGGCAGCCGGTTGCCCAGCCACCGCACCAGTCAAGTTCTTGCGATGCGTAGAGGGAGGCACATTTTTGCAATGTGACGTCGCATCTCAGTTCTGTGGTCGAGCCCTTATACGGATCAAAAGCCGGTCGATGCGACAATTATTATCGCCTCACAATATTTTTTTTATTACAGACACTCGTATTTATACACAGACATTCGATTTATACACTGAATGTAAAGTGTAAAGTGTCATAGTCTATTTGTACCTTCAGCGTTGATTTAAAAAAATATCAGTACAGGGTTATTTCAACCTCTCTTCACCCCTCTGTGGTTCGACACTATACTTGGAATTTTATTCGATTCCACATTTGACAATTTCAGTGTTGCAACGTTATGACAAGTACTAAATAGTGACGTTGTGAAATTATTCGATATGGAAATGGAATATTTCTGGATCGATTCTTCTCGTTTATAATAATTATAATTTTACTCTCGTAAACTAATTATATCATTAAATTAAATATTTCTGAACTGATAATTTAGTTTTGACGATTAATTAACGATCTGAGGCGTTTCTTTTATAATTGTGTGTTAAATAAATAAAAAAATGTAATCATGAAGGAACATGACAAATAAAACACATAGATGTATTATGGTAATAAGTTATTTTATAAATTGTCGCCGTCATCGTTATCCTGTCACTTTCTGTAACATTTATTATAAAACACACACACTGATTGTTTATCGATTGTTGTGTGCATCACTACACTATTATATGTGGTATCATTATTTCACAAAATGACAGTAGGTATTGTCAAATCTGGAATTGAATTAAAATTCTGACTATAGTAGAGCTTTTCTCAGTATATTCACAAGAGTAACCCGCGATTTTTAATTAATTTAGTATGTCTCACGATAGTTATTATAAATACAATTTGGAGGTTGTTAGTTTTATATAAAAATAACCCTGAACAGTTTGGCAAAAAAGAGTAAGTCAGGTCAGGTCGCGAGTATCGCACCTGTGGCCACCTAAGTGCCAAGCACAAATAACTATGGCATTCGTATCGTAATAGTATCGAGCGCGTTCGGCGCTCTGATTGGCCAGCTCAAGTGAACGAACCAATCAGAACGCTTAACTCGCTTGATACCGTTACGATACGAATGCGATAGTTATTCGTACTTGGCACTCTGGTACACTACGACTCAATCAGTATTGATATTTATTATTTCTATCGAGTTTAAAAAGAGGAGGTATTATGTTCGAATGATTGTTTATTCATGGTCCCAGAGGGTGATTCCCAGTCAATAAAAATTCCAGCCGTCACCGCGTCAAAACTCTTTGTTGCCAAACTGTATAAATAAATAAATTATTATTATTAATAATATTCACTTACCGTGCCAATGGATAAGAGATTTGATGAGTTCACATCCGTCTAATTTGTTATTGTTGTCGGCGTCATGCATCTTGAAGTAGTGAAACTGTAACTCCTGTTCCGACATCTTAGATGTGTCTATTGGGACCTCCATGTGCTCCTGGATGTGACTGGAATATTAAACCATTATAATTATTTTCTATGGAACGATTTTACATACATATATTTTAATAGTAGTTTCTGCCTCGTTGGCCAAGTGGCAAGGGGTCTCGGATTCGATTTCCGGGTCGGGCAAAGTATTACTGAGTTTTAAAAAAAATGTCAGTGGTAGCACGGAGTCTGGAATTGTGCCCGGTATATGGCAATAGGCTCACCCCCTATTACATGGGACCCATAATATAAATAGTGAAAAGTGGATGTTACATTGTACAGTGGTATAATGTGCACCTCTGCCTACTCCTTCGGGGATAAAAGGCGTGATGTTATATGTATTTTTTTAATTGTAGTAACTGCCTCGTTGGCCGAGTGGCAAGGGGTCTCGGGTTAGATTTCCGGGTCGGGCAAAGTATTACTTGGTTTGTTTTAATTCTCAGTAGTAGCACGGAGCTACGGTATTAGTTATGATGATATTTAAGCTGTGACAGGCAATACATGGATAAGAATAGCAAACGATAGAGAGAAATTGCGCCAGTTGGAGAATGCCTTTGTCAATCAGTGATATACAGATGTCGATGCACATAAACATATAAAAAAACTGCCGTCACCACTCGACACTGGCAGTATAGTCGACAACATCGTATTGAAGACTCGGTTGTATTAAAAAAAATTAAAAAATATTATTATAAAAAACAAATATTAAAAAATACCATAAATAAGTTGTTTTTTTGTCTGAATAAAAGGCTTTTATAATTACAGTAAAGATAAAAACAGACTTATTACTAAAAGTGCTAAACTTACATAAAAATACTACTTATCAATTTTTATAAGAATCCTTCGTTTCTGTCCGCGAGTTCGTAAACGTAATCCCGATTTTCTCCGTTCCCGTAAGATATTCGGAGAAATCTTCGGATAAAAAATATCCTATGTCTGTAGAAGAGGAGCCCATGAAGGGATTTCGGTAGTTACTCAAGCGCGTCAGATTAACATATGGGGAAAACCTAATGTCATGTTGAATATGAATGACTTCTCCCGCCTAGGTGAGGCGGGAGGGAGTGTCTGACTCTTACTGACTAAAAACCACCCCGTTCCTACTCCTGCCCTTCGAGCCGGAGACCCACCATATCAGGTCTGATTAGAAGGGGGACATTAAAATAAAATAAAAATCTTACTAAATAACGTCAGTTTCGTCAGATTAAGGGAAGATAGGTCAATACCATGCTAAAGGAAGAGCGTTTAAAATATCTGCCCATTCGATCTTGATTTGCAAGAGTGGGGGCATTTTGAAGGGTTCTCGTTTGTACTCTCCAGAACATTCAACCCCACCATGCAAACTGGCAGATTAAAGAGTTTTTTATTATTAAATACACTTGGAGCATGTACACTATCAATATCTGACACAGTCGACCACTAGAACAAAAGTTACGCTTAACAATTTCAAAGATCTGTAGATTCCCCCTTCCCCCACCGGTGGAAGAAAATGTCACTGCCATTTTATTTCTATCAGCATATCTTCAAAATCCAGTAGGTCCCAACAACGCTCCAGTAAATCCAAATTTAGCATCGTGGGCTCCCCTACTACTGTCTCCTGGTTCTAAGCTACCTCCCCAGCAAATTTTCAGTGAAATCGATGTAGCCGTTCTTGAGATATAAATAGTGTGATTAACACATAACTAATATATAGACTATAGAGACTTTCTTTAAATTGTAATATTTTGAAATGACTTACTCTCTCTCCTGGGCAATGTTAGCCGGGTTCAGGAGCTGAGGATCTGAAAACAAACACATAATATATATATGAATAACATATAAACACGTAATACCAAGTTTATCAACACAGTATGATTGTAAGAAACATTTCTTTAAGAGATTTTTTGAAAAGAGTAACAATGTAGTTCCTTTTTCGTTCTTCTCCATTCAAAAGTACACTGTAGGTCTGTCGTGTCTGCCGCGTCGGTCGCGTCGGTCGTGTCTGTCGTGTCGGTTGTGTCTATCGTGTTGGTCGTATCTGGCGTGTCCGTCGTGTCGGTCGTGTCAGTTATATTCGCCGCGTCGGTCGCGTCTGCCATGTCGGTCGTGTCTGTCGTGTCGGTCGTGTTTGTCGTATATGTCGCGTCGGTCGCGTCTGCCATGTCGGTCGTGTCGGTCGTGTCGTTCGTGTCGATCGTATCAGTCGTGTCTGTCGTGTCGGTCATGTCTGTCGTGCCGATTGTGTTTGTCGTGTCGGTCTTGTTAGTCGTGTCGGTCGTGTCCGTCGTTTCGGTCGTGTTCATCGTGTCTATCGTGTCGGTCATGTCTGTCGTGCCGATTGTGTCTATCGTGTCGGTCATGTCTGTCGTGCCGATTGTGTCTGTCGTGTCGGTCTTGTTAGTCGTGTCGGTCGTGTCCGTCGTTTCGGTCGTGTTCATCGTGTCTGTCGTGTCGGTTGTGTCGGTCGTGTCTGTCGTGTCTGTCGTGCCGATCGTGTCTGTCGTGTCGGTCGTGTCGGTCTTGTTAGTCATGTCGGTCGTGTCCGTCGTTTCGGTCGTGTTCGTCGTGTCGGTCGTGTCTGTCTGTAATTATTTAATTCCTTACTTTTTTTTAAATAAAACTCGTATTTTAAACCATCATCTGTCTGCGTTTTCGGAAACGTTCCGACTTCAAAATCGGTATCGATCAAACCCGACTGATGTATGTGAATACGAAAAGGACTTAAACGATTAAGTCGCTACGGTTTTTATTACGTGAATCAGGCTACTGTTTACAGACTGTATTCTGTATAATCATAAAAAATGTCTAAATACCTCCATGGTGAGCATGGCCATGTTGCTGTTGTTGCTGTGGCGGTTGTTGGAACTGTTGCTGTTGTTGTTGTTGCTGTGGCTGATATTGTTGCTGTTGTTGCTGCGGTGGAGGGGGAGGGGGCTGGTATTGTTGCTGTTGCTGTGGGGGAGGGGGAGGTTGTTGGTACTGTTGCTGCTGTTGATATTGTTGCTGGAAAGGATTAAGTATTTATTTCAATCTATGTAAATTAAAATGAATTTTCGTTCGTTAGTCTCACTAAAACTCGAGAACGGATGAACCGATTTGGCTAATTTTGGTCTTGAAGTGTTCGTGGAAATCCAGGGAAGGTTTAAAAGGTGAGAAAAAATAATTTTGTGATTGCAAGGTTGGTGGCTGGGCAACTGGCAGTGCAACGTGTGCAAGGATCCTCTTTTTGTGATCCCCAAATTGTTGGTTCGGGTCTGGGTGTCACGTATATGTGAACTTCTATGTTTGTAAAAGCACACACGACACAGGAGAAAATATTGTTACCGTAAGAAAATAAAAAAACATTTTTCCGAAATTGGGTGTAATGTGTATGTGAAATGGGGATGATGACAGGGTATGAAAATTAAAAATATAATTAGTCCGTAAGTTAGGCTATGAAAAAATATTAGATACGTATTTTTTTATTTTGTCGTATAATAAAACAATACTTAGATAAAACGAATCAAAGTTAAGGAGTGGGGGCTAAAACGTCATTTCTTAGTATAAAATGTACTGAGAAGTGACGTCACGCGACATTTCAAATCAATATATCTTCAAAACTATTCGTTTCTGTGAGAAAATAAAAAATACGTGTCTAATGTTTTTAAATAATCTACCAGACGGACATTAAAATAAAAATTAGTCGTCTACCCTATTTAGTCCTTTTTTAAATATAATTTTTTAAATATAATTTAAGTTTATGTATATTTAAGTGTGTGAGAGCCATGCTTTGGCACGAATGCACCGGCTTGACCGGAGTGACACCACGGCCGAGCAGGAAACCGACGTGAAACAACCACGGCGTGTTTCGTCTAGTGTCAATCTCCCCAATCATTAAAATCCTAATCCCCAAAAGGCCGGTAACGCACTTATAACGCCTCTGGTGTTTCGGGTGTCCATGGGCGGCTATTATTGCTTACCATCAGGTGATCCGTCTGCTCGTTTACAGGCTTAATAAAAAAAAAATGCAAGTGGGATGTTTGAAAAGGACTTAAATGCTATACAAAGACAAGACCTTAGAGGATCATAAGCATACCTGTTGCGGTGGGGGTGGAGGTGGTGGCTGTTGATAGTTCTGTAAAAAGAAGAAAAAAGAAACATTAAGACTTTGACTGCTAAAAAAAAATGTTGAAGACAAATCCTCCGTTAACGTCGTCGGTCACCGGTGACCCCGTGGCGTTTAATGTGTTAAGTTAGTCTACTATATAAAAATAATCTACTATATAAAAATAAGTCGGTTTTTCCTTCCTGACGCTATAACTCCAGAACGCACGAACCGATTTCCACGGTTTTGCATTCGTTGGAAAGGTCTCGGGCTCCGTGAGGTTAATAGCAAAGAAAATTCAGGAAAAAGAAATTTCTTCATCTTTTAATCAATAAACGAAATGTTACATAGACCGTAGCCATCTGGTGGCGAAACGGAGTTCGCCGCATTTGTTAGTATAATATAAAACTTATGCCATAAAAAAACACAACATAATATTTACCTAATGAAACATATTATTATTTAAAAACTTATACATGTATTTATTTATGGGATTGACGGGCAAGGAGTCTTGGGTTTGATTCCCGGGTCGGGCAAAGAATTATTGGGTGTTTTTTTTTTAATTCTCAGTAGTAGCACGGAGTCTGGAATTGTGCCCGGTATATGGCAATAGGCACACCACCTATTACATGGGACTCATAACATAAATAGTGAAAAGTGGGTGTTACATTGTACAGTGGCATTAAATGCCGTAATGTGCACTTATGCCTACCCTTTCAGGGGTAAAAGGAGTGATGATAAGTATAAGTATTATTTATTTATTTATTTATCACAAAATGTATATTGTTATCAATAATTACTTAGCTAAAAAGGTAATTAAGTAATAAAGTTGCTCATTATATTTACAGTTTATTGCACTATTAAATTAATAATGTCATTTTAACTATGTATTTAAACTAAATTTGTAATTAGGTACATTGGACAATATTCTAACAGTATTAGCAAAAACTGCCTCGATGGCAAAGTGGTCGCAAGTGCGACTACCGGGCAAGGGGTCTCGGGTTCGATTCCCCGGGTCGGGCAAAGTATTACTAGGTTTTTAAAAAAAAATCTCAGTGGTAGCACGGAGTCTGGAAATGTGTCCGGTATATGGCAATAGGCTCACCCCCTATTACATGGGACTCATAACATAAATAGTGAAAAGTGGGTGTTACTTCTGTATGTACCCCTGCCTACCCCTTCGGGGATAAAAGGCGTGATGTTATGTATGTATTAGCAAAAATTGGGTGCCATCTTACTAATATATGTAGATATTTATTTTGAGGGGGGAAAATCATTGAATGATGACTTCTCCCGCCTAGGTGAGGCGGGAGGGAGTGTCAGACTCTTACTGACTAACAATTCCAGACTCCGTGCCACTACTGAGATTTTTTGTAGAGTTTTGTACTGAGTTGTAGAGTTTTGACCGCTCGGCCAACGAGGCAGTCAATGTATATCACGTATCTACATTTTTATTAAGGGGGGAAATTCATCGAATCACTGCTCCCGCCTGGGTGAGGCGGGAGGGAGTGTCAGACTCTTACTGACTAAAAACCACCCCGTTCCTACTCTGCACTTCGAGCCGGAGCCCCGGCAACCCATTAAGATCTCCGCGACTCCGAAAAAGACTAGCATAGTGCGAACAAAGCATTAAGTATAGTTCTGTCTCTACGAATGCTTTCTATAATGACAGAGATGGCACGATATTTAAAATAGCCCCACAGTATTCGGGCGTAAAAACGAATACCTTTTCTAGTTGGGCTAATACAAACGTGCGAATTGTCACGTCAAAGGAATGTGACAATGCCGCACAACTCTCATTAGTGTGAGCGGCAGATCCGATAAAATGATTAATGACAGCATGCACATTTGTTCACTTCACTTTAAAAAAATACACGTAAGATTTAACTACAATCCCCTTCCCCCCTTCATGATGTTTCGTGATTTTTTGTCGAACCCCTTCCCCTTATTGAGCCTATTTTACTACAATCCCCTTACCCCTTCATGATGTTTCGTGATTTTTTGTCGAACCCCTTCCCCCTTATCGAGTCTCCGGTGATTAAAGGCCGCATACATAAACATTCTTCAGAAAGTACGTGACGAAATAACAATATACAATCTACCTACATATTTGTATCAGAATGCTACCTAGCAAATTCCTTACAAAATGCTGAATCAACAATAATAATTTCTTTTATTGTAATCAGTGTTCTGAGTTAGTACACATATACATACATAACATATTATACCATCACGCCTTTTGCCCCCGAAGGGGTACACAAAAGTGCACACATGGGAGAAGTAATTCGATGACTTTCCCCCTCTCCGTTCTCTGCGGCTCCGTATCGATATCAGCCTTATTGGGGCCCAATCAGATGGTAGTGGTTTTTAGTTCCTATTGAAAAAAAATTAACAAATATGCACTAGTCAACCCTATTATTTTTAAAAGATCCCCTCGATTTCCCTGGTCTTCCATCATCAGATCCTGGTTTCTTTATCATGGGACCATTCTGGGACTATCTCCTTTCTAACAAAAAAAGGAATTATCGAAATCGGTTCATAAATAACGGAGATATCGGCGAACAAACATAGACAAAAAAAAGCATATATATACGGTCGAATTGAGAACCTCCTCCTTTTTTTAAAGTCGATTAAAAAAAAGAACTATCAGCCGAACATAGTACTTACCTCCTCCTTTTTTTGAAGTCGGTTAAAAATTGAGTGGAGTTTAAGTTTGGACATAATGTAGGTACCAATTATGTGGTGCAATTTTCAAATCCAATGTGCTATAACTTAAGAGAAGTGAGTGAACTATACCTACTTGTAGATGACTAACACATGTTAAAGTTTAATATAAAATTAGTTACAACTGATAAAGACATGAAATGTTTGTATAAACACTATTATTATCCGTGACACGAAAAACCCAAATGTAGGTAACATATTTTAAGTTAGACTTTTAAACTTCTAGAATACTAAAATAAGTAAAATCACGGGTTACTCACGTGAATATACTGAGAAAAGCTCTACTAGTTTCGAACCACAGAGGGGCTCTTCCTCATGAGCAGCGTGCGCGGTCGCGGCGACGTCGCGCAGCTCACTGGCTGGCGTTGGCGCTCGCCTCGGTGTTGCCACCTGCGCTGCGAGCCCAACTAGTTCGAAACTAGTAGAGCTTTTCTCAGTATATTCACGTGAGTAACCCGCGTTTTTACTTAATTCTAGAATACTCTTATCATTATCATTATCAACAACCTGCACCCTCACTGATGAGAAGCGGGGGCGTCTTAAACTGTCAAACACCAAGCGGTCACCGGTGACCGCGACCTATTGTTCTTTAATTGTGTCTATAAAACCGGTACTCGACGAGTTAAATCTACGCCACCATGACATTTCTCATATAATAAAATTGTAAGAAAGTCAAAATAACACATTGAATATTTTTTCAAAAGAATGGGCGTAATCTACAATCGATACCGAAGGCAAAATTAGAGTTTTTAGAATTTTTGTCTGTTTGTCTGTATGTATGTTCGGGCTAAATTCAAAAAGTACTGCATGGACTTTGTTCAATTTTTGCACGAATATTACTATCATGTCGGATCATATATAGGCTACATATTATCAACATATAGGCTACATATTATCAGGCTATCTGTCACCTACAGGGGGAGTGAATAAGTATTCCACGCGGACGAAGTCACGGACACAGCTACTAATGTAAATATTCATCCAAAATTTTGCTTTTATTTCTAGACTAGCTTTTACCCGCGGCTTCGCTCGCGTCACAAAACAATAAAAAGTAGCCTATTTGACATATACCAATACACACAGCGCCATCTATACCAATACTTTTGTTTTTCCTCGGGAATATCAATTTTTTCGGGTTAAAAAGTACCCTGTTATTTAATCCGGACTTCTAATTTCACGCCTGCAAAAATTCAAAGCAATCGGTTGAATAGTTACAGCGTGAAGGTGGAACAAACAAACAAACTCATTTTCAGATTTATAATATTAGTAAGGAAGTAAGGATTCTGCCGGCTGTTTTGCTTGCATTACTGTTTCAAAACTAGTCAACATTTAGGCAGGGGTGTACATTTATGGCACTTCATGCCATTGTACAATGTAACACTCACTTTTCACTATGTATGTCATGAGTCCCATGTAATAGGGGGTGAGCCTGTTGTTATATACATATATACATACACACATCACAAACTATAATAGGTATTAATAATATTAGTAGACTTTATAAGACAGATATGTTAAATGTCAACCTCATAAATATGTAACAGTGTGAATCTTTTTAATTTATACATAATAAAAATGTAATTCATTCATTGATATGTAGGTAGCCTTGTCACAGAAACCAACTTAACCTGCCTCCTGTTACTAGGATATTCATGTTTACATTAGCAGTAGTTAAAAACCTAATGTGTTACCAGGGCCCCAGCTGAAAGCAGGAGTAGGAACGGGGTGGTTTTTAGTTAGTGAGAGTCTGACAATCTCTCTCGCTTCACCCAAAGTGGAGGTCTTAGCCTGAGAAAATTTTCAATGAAAGGTAGGTAGCCTCAATCCTCACAGCTACATATATGCAAGATCTTTTTAGAAAACAAATTCACTTTCACAATTTAACTCGTCGAGTACCGGTTTTATAGACACAATTAAAGAACAATAGGTCGCGGTCACCGGTGACCGCTTGGTGTTTGACAGTTTAATTATTAACTAGCTTCTGCCTGCGGCTTCGTACGTGCAATCCAGGTTTGTCCCGTTCCCGTTTGTGATTTAAAGTATCCTATGTCCGTCTCTTGGTTCTAAGCTACCTCCCCACCAATTTTCATCCAAATCGATTTAGCCCTTCTTGAGTTATAAATAGTGTAACTAACACAACTTTCTTTTATATTTATAGATTGGTATTATTGTTCTAATGTAACCATAGATTATAACTAAATACCTAATTAAAGTTCAAATTCTACAAGTGGGTACATCTAGTTAAAACTATGTGTACTGTGCCTTTATTCTGTAAAATAAAAAAAATAATTTGGTCTGTTTCCAAATACATACTATCCGTGCATTTTATTAGGTATTTTTTTTTATTTTGTTAGTTTTTACCAGTATTGTGATTATAATAACATTTAGTGCATAAAAATTATTGAATTTCTTCTCTTAACATACATACATTAACATCACATTTTTACCCCCGGAGGCAGAGGTGCACATTACAGCACTTAGTGCCACTGTACAATGTAACACGCACTTTTCACTATTTATGTTATGAGTCCCATGTAATAGGGGGTGAGCCTATTGCCATATACCGGGCACAATTCCAGACTCCGTGCTACAACAAGGATCTTTTTAAAAATCCCTGTACTACTTTCTTTTTAGCTGAGATTCGTAGATGACAAATCCAAAATTATAGCATCATTACAAAATGGATAAGAGATATGACGGTAATGCTTTCTATTCTATATAATAATGTGTTAAGTAAAGCTACAAAAAGTACACAAGAAACCTTCAAACAGTAGGCCTAGAGCTTATAATGACTACATAACCACAGCAAGCAACCACTTTCACTTTTTCAAATTATGTGTCAAAACACTACAGCCATTCAGCCTATGTGAAAATAGATTTAGACACGAAAATATGAATAAAACTAACCTGATAATTCTGTGGAGGCACTCCGGGAGCTACTTTTTGCTGATATTGTTGAGATATAGTGCACTGCAAAAATGCAGCCAATAATAATAGCTTCAACATTGTAGAATCTGAAAAACAAACACGAACTTTCAACACACGTGAACAAAAACTAATCTAACAACTTTTTTAAAATTAACATTTACCGCGATAGGCAAAGGCAAGTGGTAATAAAGGCAAATTTTACTATTTTTTCTTTAAAAAAAATCGGCGAAAGTAGATTGTGTGGAATACAAATTTTTACCTGTTAATGTACAGTTGTGACGTGGACTATGGGCGATAATATCCTTATCGAATCGATGTATTGATAATATTTTAATATATTCACCGTATGTCGATGTGTATCGCAGACGTTTTCAAAAAGATACCTGGCTGGGATTACCTACACGTCACGTCATTATTCACGGTATGACAATGACGTTCCTGACGTTAGCGACCAGTTTCACGCAGTTTCATTTAGTGCTACGTGTTGTTTTCACAAATAACTTTAGTCACTATTTAAAAATAAGATTATGTACGTCCAATAATGTTGATTTTTTTGTAATTAACACTGTTAATTTAACATTTATTATTTATATATTTGTCTTTAAAACATGTAAACCTGTACTAAATTTGGACACAAGGCTTTTAAGTTTAAAAAAATTAGCACCATGAACTACGAAGCTAAAATTATGGAGAGTAAATATTGAAAAAAATTAAGTAAATAAATAAAATAATGTATTTCATTTCGGTCATATTCGCACTATACATAATAAATGTGGTTTAATCCTTAAAAAAATACAAAAAAAAATACACATATTCTGACACCAATATTTTATTACATTTTAACATCGATACAAGTTTGTAGTTTAAAGCATTGAATGGACAGAAGAATACTTCAATATAAAGTATAACAAGACATAAAAAATATAGACTTATTATTGTCCTAACACAACCTCGTAATATAAAAAAACCAATTAAAAAAATAGGATTTAACAACAACAGTTGTTGACTAAGAGAGCCATTGAAGAGCTTACATTGTAAATTTCATAGAATCTTTCTATCTAAATAATTTATACACATTGATAATTAAATAATCTCTACATTTTAAAAGTTATTAATATGAAATAAGCAGACTTTCTAAGTACCTACACATCAATATTTTTTTAACAATGTAGTTCGTATATGTGGTACATTTATTTTCATAATAGGGATAATAATTTATGTCCACAAATGATATATGTTCCTATGTCGTAAGTACATATAAATATGTAAGATTGTAGATCTTCAGAAAAACACCAATTTTCGTATATTTCCAGACTTACACTAAACAGCTACTTTATTGTACACCACAAAACACCTTTATGAGCAAGTGTTTGTCACAGTAACTGCCTAAACTGGACAAACGTAGAAGGCGCTCTAAATCTGACAAGTGTTTATATTTTTTAAACATCATAAGCCTATCTTAAATATAATAATCGAATACATAACACCGCGAAGGTTCTTACAACAGTAAGCGATCACTAACAAACAACCTTTATATAGTCTTAGGTACAAAGCCTTGATATGTAGCGATACAAAAAAAATATATCTTATGAGAGCGTCATAGTTCGATTAGCTATAAACAAAATGTATCATTGAGCTCCATCTTTTAAACCCCATTGATAGACTAGTTATTGAAAGTAAGTGTAGGATAGCCATGCTTTGGCACGAATGGGCCGGCTTGACCGGAGTGATACCACGGCCTCACAGAAAACCGACGTGAAACAACGCTTGCGTTGTGTTTAGTCGTGTGAGTGTGGTTACCGGTGGCCCAATTACCCCCCTCTCTAGTCTCCCGAATCCCCGAATCCTCCACAATCCTCAAATTCCCAAACCCAAAAGGCCGGTAACGCATTTGTAACGCCTTGGTGTTGCGGGTGTCCATGGGCGGCGCCGATTGCTTACCATCAGGTGATCTGTCTGCTCGTTTACCGGCTTATGCTATAAAAAAAATAACCGTTAAACGGTAAGATATCGTTTCATGCTACGTATTCGTTGATCCCTTTTCTGAGGGAGAAAACCAACCAATGTCTTCTCCCACCTCAGATGAGGCGAGAGGGAGTGTCTAACTGACTGAAAACCACCCCGTTCCTACTTCTGATTATATCCGGAGCTCCGGTAACCCGGTTGTCCGCAGCTCCGGATATTTGATTTGATGATCTCTCAAGTTGAAAATGCACTACTTTGGTGCATTGTTAGTAGATAATTTGCCTTCAACAGTTGTATTATTCGGCAGTCAAATACCAACTTATACGTGTCGCTCAACAGGCACAGGAGCATCAGAATTTTCAGTCAAAATTTGAAATTCTAAAAATTTATATCTAACTACGTCATCCACACTAAATTCTGTGTTGATTCTTTGATTGATAAGTATACATTGACTGATCTGACGGCTCTCAGTATAGGCGTCGGCTAAACATATATAAGTACGAAGCATCAGTTTTCGGATGCGATCGAATTGATCATAGTCACAGATGATAGCTAAGTTCAGAAAGGCTTCAGCGATCTTTAGTTTAGCAATCGTAGTTTCGTAAAAATGGTTGAAATAAGCATGTGTGGCTTCATTGTGTAATCTGTACACTTCTTTTTCTATTATTTTTATATTCTCATCTTCTTTTGCCGCATCTGTGAATCGAAATTTATACATTAATCGCGTTTTTGGCACACAAGGTTCTCAAGTCAGGGTTTTATTTTCATGTTTTTCTTTTTCCAAATTCTCAGTGATTGTGTTGCATCTCAAAAACTCATGGAATCAAATTGTCACGTTGGTCTTTTACTGCAGAATACCAGACACCAAATGACACAATTTTCTACATCTTATTCTCTTCATATACTCATTCATCACACTCTTCAAGAACATTCATCGACTGAAGATCTTTTCTAAAGAAATCCTTACCTATTTTATTGTTAATAACAATCATTTTCTCGGAAGCCTCTTTGTTTCTGAATGGTGCTGGTCCTATATCACCGGGAATAAAATAAGTATTAAATGCTGACTGTGGGCCCGCACAATCTACTGCTGTAGATGTTGATGAGGTCATCGTATTTGCATTTGAGGTGGATGGAGCGTTGAGATCATCCTCAGTTCCTTCCATTATGTCTGAAGTGTCATGATTGTCGCCTGGAATCAAAAAACGAAAGAATATTATAACAACGTCGTTTGGAAGTTGGTTGTTGTGGTGTCTTGGACGAAATGCACTAAGGCATATAGCCTTACAGTTTTAGTTAGCAATCCCTTAATATTAAGACTCTTTTACTGTGACTTTCTCTGTCTAGAGTGAGATGAGAGGGCGTCTCAGAATCTTACTGGCTTAAGACCACCCCGTTTCCATTCCTACTTCGAGCCGCAAGCTCCGGTAACCTGATAGGTCAGGAGCTTCAGATACCGTTGCCAACTTTATACACATTTTCTGACTTCTTCACTAATGGCTGTGTCGATACCAAGATTAGGCAAAGCAAAGCAGTACTGTCGTACCCGATAAGGGGACCAAACTAAAATAATCGTTATATAAAAACTGTTATCTAGTCAAAACTTACCTGATATTACATAAAATGAGTGTTGGAAAGCTAAGATGCAGTGCTCTTTCTTTAATTCAGGAAGAAAATCTGGCAGTGATGCCGAGCGCTCTAGTATTTCAACTATCTCATTAACATCATCTGGTATTGTAGAAACTGGGTAGCAATCGGAAGGTGCTTGCGACGGATGGAGAGGAGGGGCGATGATGCTCATCGGTAGCTTACCCAATGGTACTGTAACGAGAGAAATCTTTCTAAACCAGTCATGCTTATAAATTCAAAGTTGAACCTTAATTTAAAGTAACATAGTTATCAGACTATTTCGATAATTGTTTTAATGCGCATCGAGATGTGAGTATTGGGAAACCTTGCTTCAAGAAGATGATGAGATGTCAAATCAGGGTTTTGAGAAATCTCATTTGTCATAATGTGATTAGGTATAACTATTACCTCACGCACTCTAGTGCTCTATGAGGGTTATAAATGGAATACTTCTACTTCCCTGATCAAATTGTTTAATGGCTTTATCATCAACAATGTATTTAATTACTTTTTGTATTATAATGTTTTTGATGTTACCTCGTTGGCCAAATGGTCGCAAGTGCGACTGCGGGCAAGGTATCTAGGGTTTGATTCTCGGGTCGGGCAAAATATTACTGGGATTTAAAAAAAAAATCTGTGGTGGTGGTATTTCCGGTATATATCGGGCACAATTCCAGACTCCGTGCAATAGGCTCAGCCCCTCTTACATGGGATTCATAACAGAAATAGTAATGAAGTGCAAATAAGTGCCATAAAGTACACCTCTGCCTACCCCTATCGGGGATAAAAGGCGTGAAGTCATGTGTTACGTATATTTTTGATATTAAATCAATTTTAGTTCAGTTTAATTAAAAGTTAATACGAGCGTCGAGCGCTCGGCTCGATTCATGGCATGTCCACTTGACTTAACTTCCCGCACACTTACTGTTCTACCCTTGAAGCCCCACCGAGCCATTGACCTACTAAATCCAACAGAAGCCGAAATAACAAACGTTTGTTGCCAGGCAACTGATCAAACAAGTGGTATCTTAGACGCATGACCATTACGCAGCCTACTGCTGGTATAAAAGGCGTGAAATTTGGCGCATTATCCTTAGTATACCCGAAACGGCACTGAAAACGGCCATCCTGTGGCGTCTTGTTCAAATCTGTTAATCCGAAAATAAGTGAAAAAATATATGATTAGAATGTCCACATCTAAACTACTGAAACAGCTCTCAAGTGTTTTAGTGACGTTAAAATATCAAACAGGTGCAGTGACCTAACATTTACGCATGCGTGAACTCATTGGATCAATATCTCCGAATTCAAACAGCGGTAATTATTAAAAAAATATTTATTACAAAAATCTTTAGTCTATTTTCTAATAAAAATGATTAAAAAAAATATATGTCAATTTACGCGGTAAAACGATTTTTTGCAAATCAATCTCTCGCATCGTGTAACTCAAAATTACGTAAAGTTTTTAATATTATTTTAAGGTGCAACAAATGAAACTTACTTGGTTCTTCTTCCATTGATCTTTTACAGCTCCAATAAAGCTGAGAATCGGACATATTTACAGCGATTACACAATTTTTAATATTTAAATTTTGTAATAAATTACCTTCTGCAATCTTGCACCTCGCAGATGGAGCGGGCAATATGTCAAAATACGAATAGGAAACTGAAGGACATAATAGGGCGTAGAAAGACCTAAACGTTATAGATATCGAATAATAGCTATGTACGATAAATTTTTATGATATATGTAGGTACCGTACCTAGGTACATTTTAATTTTACATTTTTTAAATAGATTGAATTAATTTTAACAAATATGACTAACAAAAAGTACAGCTTTGTAAGTAGTAATTTTCTTTTTAAATTGTAGATTTCGTATCAATAATAAAGTTGAGAATTTAAAATAAACTTAAATACTATTAGAACATAATTATATGCACTTTCTTTCACGTTTCAACAGCACGATTTTTATAGTACAATTTTTTGTCTGGAGATCGTAGCTACCTAATTAATAATAATTACTTAATAATTATTGTTATTTTTGTTACCACCAATCTATATTACCTACCCACTCCCGCTTTTAGATTATTTTTATTCATTCAAGATATTCATTACATCGGTTCATTTCGTATTAATATTTAATTTATGAGTCAATTTTTTTTTTTTTCTAAGGAGGCTAAAAAGTAATATGAGCTATTTTTTGCAACAACCGCGGATAGTAGCATAAACTCTTTATTGGACTAGGTGGAATAATATATATTATTATATGGGATTTTAACATAACAGGAAAACTAGCTTAAACAAGTTTAGTAAAGTAATTATCTACATTACGTTTAAGTAATTGCAGGTCTTCAATGCAACATTTTTGAAAACAACGTATAGTACATTATTTATGTATCAATCCATAAATACTCCGAAAAAAAAACACAAATAAGAAAGCATTCAATCATCGAAAAATGCCTTCAATTCACCTCAAAATCAATAAAAATTCGCAATTCTGTTTGATGCGACGTCATAATAATGCCTAAATTAATTATTCCGCATTTAATTATTCTTATACAAGCGTTTGTGAATGTATGAAACCTAAATTTTGGGAAATTTTAGGAGTAGGGGCTTACTACGTCATGAGCAAGCAATGTGTAAGATACAATAAAGAGTAGGTACAATAGTAAGGGCCACAATACGTCTCTTTTACATTACTAATGTAGAACATTCATGGAGATTTTGTGCGCAGAAATGACGTCATCGAGTCATGCGACATTTCAAATCAATATGACTGTAGGTTCTAGTTTCCCTGCGTTACATTTTTACACAATGCTCGTAAATGTGACGTTCCTTTCGTTCAAACACTCGACTTCAAAAAAGGAGGAGGTTCTACTTTTGTTTTTTTTTTCTATGTAAATTCACAAATTATTATCTCAACATTATCTACATCTCACCCTAACCCATATCTGGAATAACAATTTCTTGAATTAATTATTATATTTATTCCATGCGAGAATTGAACGCACAACACGTTGCACGGCAGTCCAACCGCTACGCAAACCCTGGGGTCAAATAAATAAAAACTTGCACAAAAAATTTATCGATTGGATGAAAGACCGTCTATTAACCGGCAATTTGTCTTTACTGCCTCGTAGCGTATGTCGAAACGCAAATGCGAACATCTTTAGTTAAAAAAAATTAGACTATTAGAAAGCTGAGTGATTTATACCTAGATCATACAGCCTCTTCAATCGGAAATAAAATATCGTGTTGTCGGTATGAAATCGACATCACTATTCTCATACCACTAGGAATACCGGGATACAGCGCCCCACCCCACAAGTATTGATTTGTTGTACTGTAGCTACTATTAGTGTTATAAACAAAATACAGGTACACTAAAACCAGTATAAGTTGACCCTCGAATATGCAAAAATATTACACAAAGCGAGACCATTATAAACTGGTGACGTACAAAATATATGTAGGTGTCGGTAACTGGAATATTTTCTTGTAATGGAACAAAAAACTTGGATAAAAAATTATGTCCATAATAAGTAGGTAGTAGTGGGTACATTATTTTGTGATTATTTTCCTTACATTTTGGTACTTTAATAAATCTTCTTAAAGAACAAGTTTTCGTTTCCAGCGGTATCAATAACGTTGAAAACATAAGGTCCTTGGGTGGTACCTATACAAATATACGATAATTATAATAATTACATTCCATTCACAAGATAAAACGAAAAAAGACGCTCCTTCAAAAACGGTTGTTTAAGATAATCTTAACATTTACTTGCAAACAGCAAGAAGTATTTATTTTTTCTCTTATATTTTTCCTTCAAAATATCTTTTAAAACTTTCTCAAAATATTAGAGGGCGTGGTTACTCCACCAGATTTATCTCAAAAGACCAGAAGTCACTTATCGAATGTAAAAAATAAGCAACGCTAGTGATGTGACTCAAGATTTCTATCGATAATTTCGATAAAACATACAAATATTACAATATTGTTTAATTACATTTAAACACCTAAAGGTTGAATACCTTTGTCTACTTCATTTAATACCATAAAAATCAATTCGAAACACATGAAAAATACTTAAAAATAACAATATAATTTGAAATATTACAATAACATTTGAATATCGAGCGGGTTCGTTAAGATCGTCTCCTCGCACCACTAGATGCAGTTGGCTGTCAAAGTCAAAGAAATGACATTTTGTAATCTGTATCGATCTGTCGGACTTGAATTGGAGAATTATTGTACCTGCTCTTGAAATTCAAAGTGAAAGAAGTTTTGAAACTATTTTCTAGCGTTTTGAAGATGGAAGACTCATCAGACCAAGCAAATTGGAATGAAACTCCACAATTTCTCAATGTGCCCTTAGCTAAAGGAATTAACAAGAGGTAATTTCTTATTTATTATAAGAACCCGCTTTGCCGGCGCGCGTGTTTCATATTTTTGTGTGCTTTGCAGTTTTTAATTCATGATAGGTACTTAGTTTGTAATTGATAAATTCATCGTTTTTTTTCATACATGTCCAATTCTTACCTTTCATTTAATAATTCGTTGATCTTATGCGAAAGTGCCTATGTATAATTTTATTTTTAACAAATATATTATAAATAAATATGTAGTGGCTATTAATGCGATATTTTACAAATACAAAGTTAACATAACGTCACATTATTTTATCTTGTAAGAGAAAGGTAAAATTATATTATTACACACATTATATTTCATTTTTCAAATCTGCCTACCACATCAGACAATAAAAATGAAGGTGTTATTATATTTCTAACTTACCTGCACCTGCAATATATTTTCTTCATACTCAAGTGTCACTATTCTAAAAGTTCAAATAGACTGACACAACTTGAGACAAATCATTGCTTGCCACTAGGTGAGATATTGATCAAACGTCGGCCCAGTGAATAAATAAAAAAATTAGACTTTAATGTTGCTACTGTTCAAACTTACACAAACCATAAGCCAGGTGCTGGTGCAACAGTAATTATCGTCTCACAATAAATTTTCCAATTACCGACACTCATATTTATACATACATAGTGTCGTGGTGGCCCGAAGGTTTAAGACGCCCGCTTCTCATGCATGAGGGTGCGGGTTTGAAACCTACCAACGGCAAGTACCAATGTGACTTTTTCCGAGTTATATGTACTTTCTCAGATTATTCAGACACCACTGACAAACGGTGAAGGAAAAACATCGTGAGGAAACCTGGACTTATAATTTCTAATTATAATTTTGAAATCGCCATCCCGCATTGAGCAAGCGTGGTGATTAATGCTCAAACCTTCTCCGTGTGAGAAGAGGCTTTGCTCAGCAGTGGGCATTTATAGGCTGTTGATGATTGATGATGATGTTGCTGCTGTTCAAACTTACACAAACCATAAACCAGCGGCTGGTGCAACACTAATCGTCTTACAATAAATTTTCCAATTACCGACACTCATATTCATACAGAGCCATTAGATTTATACATTGAGTGGTTGCGTGTAGTGTTGTAGTCTATTCGTAGCTTTAAAGCCTTACGTCATTTAGCCCGTTGAAATTCATCCCCTAAATTTGGTCATACAAAAGTAGTCTCTAAACATTGGAAATAAGGTCTATAATGTAATGTAATATTAGTGGAGAGCGGTCACCGGTGACCGCTTGGGGATCTATGGGTTAGAACATGTTTACCGGCCTTTCAATAGCTGATTACTGTTTCGCAACATACCAGAGGACCTAGAACAAGTTTTCTTCATGTATATCGAGATAGAAACATTACCGCATTTACCCCTCTCATTGGTTGGTTCATCGCAGCTGGCCAATCAGAGCACTGAATGTCATAAATGTATCAATCATTTAAATATAAAAGAGATTTCTCCATATTTGGACCTTATTTCTGATGTTTAGAGACTAATTTTGTATGAACAAATTTTGGGTATGATATAACAACTTAATAAAGTTTCATTTTACTTTTTTGGTTATTGCCTGATTGAAAGTGTATCTGTATACTCCCCATGCAAGTTACACGGCTTTCTGTAGTAATTTTCCTCTTAGGGGCCGTTCAAGTCTTACGTAAGCACCATGGGGGGGGGCGGTCTTTGTTTTGCTTATTTTGGATGATATAGGGGGTATGGGAGTCTAGATGATGATTACGTCATCGGTAGTTATTTACTTTTTACACGAATGGCGACCCTTATATTGAAATTATAAATTAACTAATACTAGAATATTTAAATTACAATATAAAAATGATATAATTTAAAATGTTTACGTAAGCAAAGGGGGAGGGGGTATGATTTTTACTTACTTTTGCTGATGAGGGGGATGGGGGGGGGGGGTAAATAATGGGGATGATGACAGGGTATGAAAATTAAAAATATAATTAGTCCGTAAGTTAGGTAGTGAAAAAATATTAGACACGTATTTTTTTATTTTGTCGTATAATAAAACAATACTTAGATAAAACGAATCTAGTATACAGTGTAAAAGCTAGTACATTATATTTTAAACTTATAGAGCTGCTAATATAATGCTGGTGGTGGTTCTTTGCTTCTAAGTGTAGGTTTACTTCTTGATTGGTACCAAACATCAGGATAGTTCACAGGTCCACAGGAAGAAATTCCAATAGGAATAGGTGGTACCTTTGTACTTTAATTTTATGTATGTGTTGTCCTTTATGTTGTATGTGTGTACATAAATAAATAAATAAAAGTAGTTCATTCAACTATAATATAATAGGGATCATCCCTATACACAGACAGTGTATGAAAATCTAAAATCTATTTAGTCCATTACGTAGATAATGATTTTTTTTATTTTGTCCATTCATTCCAGTCCAGAAAACAAGAGGCATTTAGATAAAATGAATCAAAGTTTAGGAGTGGGAGCTAACTACGTCATTCCTTAGTAGTACATAGAAGTGACGTCACGCGATATTTCAAATCAGAACATTGTACTTTCCCTATTGCCGTCGATGCGGACAATTTGATGCTCTCTGTAAATGTTTATTTTTAGTTTTCTTTTATTTAATTGTTATCTTTTAGTTATCATGTCTCTTAGCCGATTCGGTGTCGCGGAGAACCTAACGGGTAACCGGGGCTCCGGCTCGACGTGCAAGAGAAGGAACGGGGTGGTTTTTAATCAGTAAGAGTCTGACACTCCCTCCCGCCTCACCCAGGCGGGAGCAGCCATTCGATGATTTTCCCCCCTTAAAAAAATAGTGTCTCTTAAGTATATTACTTTTTTTTTCATTTCCCTATGTTGTAAAAATATCTCCAATGAAAATGTGCCTAAATCTTTTTTGCAGGGAGCTCTTAGAGACTGGCCATACGGAGTTCACTATAGACTTTGATTATGACAAGAAAAATTCAATGTTTGATTCACCTGATGAAGAGGACATGTTCACGGTTTATGATGATGAGGACGAGTAAGTAATGTGTTGTTAAATATCATTCGAGGTCATTCGAGGGGTAACGGACTATTTGGTTTAAGCGACATTTTGGGCGATATTGAGTTATTATATACATTCGACGGAGAAAAATTCGCTGATTCCGAATATATATATAAGTCAATATCGACCAAAATGTCGCTTAAACCAAATAGTCCGTTACCCCTCGTATTTATGTCGCAGTTCATTTCTATATATTTATTTTAAATTCTCTATAAAATACATTTTTAAATATTACTTACAAAAACATAAAAATAATATTTAATAATATAAAAAATAGGAGCCGACCATTAGCGGGAGCATGGTCCAAGCTACCGGTGGTTAGGGCTCCAGAGACAGAAACCTCCTCACGATACGTGCCGTTTCAAGGAGAACTGCCTTCTGTATCAGGCCCTTGACCCAACTACCTAACGCTAGCCTCCTAAGGTGGTTGTCGAGGCTATTAGGGATTAACCCATTGGCCGATACGACTATCGGCACAATGATAGCCGAATCTACATTCCACATGTCGACAACCCCGTGAGCCAAATCAAGATATTTGATTTGTTTATCTTTTTCAGCTTTCGCATTTCATTATTGTTACCGACTTCAAAAAAAGGAGAAGATACTATGTTCGGCTGATTTTTTGTTTTTGTTTGTTCACTGATTACTCCGCCATTTGTGAACCGATTTCCAAAATTTCGATACAATTATCATTATGATATGAGCTTATGGCACCGACTTCTAACCTATCAGTGGGTGGGTAACCTATCAGTACGTTAATAATACCTAGTTTATTTTTGCTTTTTAGTTTTTACTTTTTTGTTTGTTAATAGTTTTTGGTTTTTTGAAGTCGGTTTTTTAAACGCTATTTTTATTTTAAAGCTCTTTGTTTTTGGGTCCAGTTGGATGATTGTTTATTCATGGGATGTGGCCCGAAGTTGGTGATAATATTATGTTTTTTTTTATTTTTTGTGTGATAATCTGGTAAACGAGCAGACTGATCACCTGATGGTAAGCAATCGGCATCGCCCATGGACACCCGAAACAACAGAGGCGTTACAAGTGCTTTACCGGCCTTTTGGGATTAGGCATTTAAGGATTGATGGAGATTCAGACATTGGGGTGATTAGGGAAGGGGGGAAATAATTGGTCCTCCAGTAGTTTCACTCACACGACGAAACACAACGCAAGCGTTGCTTTACGTCGGTTTTCTGCTCGGCCGTGGTATCACTCCGGTCGAGCCGGCCCATTCGTGCCGAAGCATGGCTCTCCCTCTCTTAACACGCACAAAATAAAATATTATGTAGCTATTCATCATTTTTGGGCCCGTCGCGGAGAACCTAACGGGTTACCGGAGCTCCGGCTCGAAGTGCAGGAGTAGGGGTGGTTTTTAGTCAGTAAGAGTCTGACACTTGACACTCCCATCCGCCTCACTCAGGCGGGAGAAGTCATTCGATGATTTTTCCCCCCTTAAAAAAAAGTCCTTGGGCCCAGTAGGATGAATATTTATTCATGGGATATGGTCCGTAGTGGGTGATTCAGTCCAAGTCAGTATTAGTTCATGCTGTCACCGCGTCAAACTCTTTTTTACCAAGCTGTAAAATCACTATCACTACATAGTATAAAACAAAGTTGCTATCCACCGTCTGTCTGTCCCTATGTATGCTTAGATCTTTCCAACTACGCAACGGATTTTGATGCGGTTTTTTTAATAGATAGAGTGATTCTTAAGGAAGGTTTATATGTATTATACATGCATAATGCACCTGTGCGAAGCCGGGGCGGGTCGCTAGTATCTTTACTATAATATAATATTATAAATTGGAAAGTGAGTTTGTTTGTTTGTTCCACTTTCACGCCGTAACTACTAAACCGATTGTTTTGAATTTTTGCAGGCGTAAAGTTAGAAGTCCGGATTAAAATAATAGTGTACTTTTTATCCCGGAATAAATTGATATTCCCGAGGAAAAACAAAAGTATTGGTATAGATGGCGCTGTGTGTATTGGTATATGTCTCATAGGATGCTTTTTTTTATCCTTTTGTGATGCGAGCGAAACCGAGGGTAAAAGCTAGTTAAAATATATTGTACAATTTTTCCAGTGATGATGGCGATGTTTTGAATAGTGTAGAGAAAGAAGCCGAGACTATGCTCCTGGCCTCGCCGGAGTATCAATCATTTGAGCAGTTGGCTGCGAAAATGAAAGACTGTCTGTCAAACGGGAGTGTGAAGATACTGATTCTGGAAGAAGGTATGTATTTATCTTATTATGTCATTTGACTGCCTCGTTGGCCGAGTGGTCGCAAGTGCGACTGCCGGGCAAAGGGGTCTCGTGTTCGATTCCCGGGTCGGGCAAAGTAATAATGGGTTTTTGAAAAAAATCCCAGTTGTAGCACGGAGCCTGGAATTGTGTCCGGTATATGGCAATAGGCTCACACCCTATTACATGGGACTCATAACATAAATAGTGAAAAGTGGATGTTACATTGTACAGTGGCATAATGTATACCTCTGTCTACTCCTTCGGGGATAAAAGGCGTGATGTTATATGTTGTTATGTTATTTTAAGCGACTTCAAGTAAAAGGATGTCCTCAATTTGACCTTGTATGTATGTTTTTTATGGGATAAGCCGCTAAACGATCAGACGGATCACGCCAGGGGCGTTACAAGTGCTTTACCGGCCGTTTGGGGATTAGGAGTTTAAGGATTGATCAGTGAGCTGCGCGACGTCGCCGCGACCGCGCACGCTGCTCATGATGAAGAACCCCTCTGTGGTTCGAAACTAGTAGAGCTTTTCTCAGTATATTCACGTGAGTAAGCCGCGATTTTAGTTAGTTTAAGGATTGTTGGATGTGGGATTGGAGAGACTGGGGAAGGGGGGGTAATTGGTCCTCCGGTAACGTCACTTACATGCCTCTCTTCACAGTATATTTGTGCGCGATTAGCTCAACCGATTCACGTCGGTTTTCTGTGAGGTCGTGGTATCATTTCGGTCGAGCCGGCTCATCCGTGCCGAAGCATCGCTCTCCTACACTTGTAAAATCCTGGCTTACAGAAGTTGCAGCGGCTTAGACAGGTTGCAGCCATTTTGCCCCATCAAAAAAAAACTGACATTTCGTTTCGATAGCTCCCCATAACTTCCATTTCACACACGTCACCAGAAAAATTCTTGAGATGCGTTGTGTCATTGTGTGGGATAGATTATACAATTTAGTGACTTGACTTCACTGTTCCGATATTTTTATAGGCGTTGTGTCATCGTGTGGGATAGATTATACAATTTAGTGACTTGACTTCACTGTTCCGATATTTTTATAGGCGTTGTGTCATTGTGTGGGATAGATTATACAATTTAGTGACTTGACTTCACTGTTCCGATATAGGCGTTGTGTCATTGTGTGGGATAGATTATACAATTTAGTGGCTTGACTTCACTGTTCCGATATAGGCGTTGTGTCATTGCGTGGGATAGATTATACAATTTAGTGACTTGACTTCACTGTTCCGATATTTTTATAGGCGTTGTGTCATTGCGTGGGATAGATGATACAATTTAGTGGCTTGACTTCACTGTTCCGATATTTTTATAGGCGTTGTGTCATTGTGTGGGATAGATTATACAATTTAGTGACTTGACTTCACTGTTCCGATATTTTTATAGGCGTTGTGTCATTGTGTGGGATAGATTATACAATTTAGTGACTTGACTTCACTGTTCCGATATTTTTATAGGCGTTGTGTCATTGTGTGGGATAGATTATACAATTTAGTGACTTGACTTCACTGTTCCGATATAGGCGTTGTGTCATTGTGTGGGATAGATTATACAATTTAGTGGCTTGACTTCACTGTTCCGATATTTTTATAGTACTTAGATTTTTTATATGGGATCACCTGATGGTAAGCAATCGGCGCCGCGCTTTGGACACCTGGAACACTATAGGTGTTACAAGTGCTGTTATTTAAGGGTTGATCCTGGCTTACAGGACTTGCAGTGGCTTAGAGAGGTTGAGGCGAACTTGTCCCATCAAAAAAACTGACATATCGTTTCGATAGTTCCCCATTTTTTTTTTTTTTTTTTTTTTTTAAGGGGGGAAAATCATCGAATGACTGCTCCCGCCTGGGTGAGGCGGAAGGGAGTGTCAGACTCTTACTGACTAAAAACCACCCCGTTCCTTCTCCTGCACGTCGAGCCGGAGCCCCGGTTACCCGTTAGGTTCTCCGCGACTCCGAATCGGCATCGGCCCTATTGGGCCCCATCTGTGGTGGTCTGATGGCTCTTTGAGGCGCGCGCGGAACGCGACGCGCCGTACGCTCGGGTCTGTTTCTGGTCGGACGGGGAGCCACCCATGCTCGCCGTCCGCAGGCCCGCGCTTACGGTGGCCGGAGATCGTCCCGCGATCCCCGACGCCCGGTGTGTCCTTCGCGATGGCTGGGTTGCGAGGAGGCAGCGCTTCGCTGCCTCACGCGTCCCGCCTCCTCCTTAGCCAGCATGACTGCTTCGCAAAAGGAGGAGACGGCATCCCAGTCCCCCTCGCTCCGCATCATGGCCTGAACTAGGCCCGGACGCGAGAGGTCTCCATCGCGATCACTTCCCTGAGGGCACGGCGGTGCTCAGCCACGCAGGGCATTCCGCAACAGTGTGTTCCACCGTGTCTCAGGGTGGTCCTCGCAGTGATGACACCCGGGCGTTTCCTCCCGCCCCATCAGACACAGGTACCTCCGAAACTTCCATGTCCGGTGAGGACCTGCGTCAGGCGGTAGGTGAGGACGCCGTTAGCGTCTCTCAAGCACTCCTCAAAGAGGGGACTTACCGCTGCAATGGCAGCGAGCCCAGCCCTCGGTTGCGACAGTCGTTGCTGCCATTCCGCCATGAGATCGCGCCGGAGCTCATCCCGCCACGCATTATCTGGCGCGGCAGCGGAGTTTCGCCCCGGCGACGCGTGCCTCCGCGCGCATGCGATACACGCGCGCGAGCACCTTCGACTCAGATCCCACGGCGGTAATCCGGCAAGGAGGTTCGCCGACTCCCCAGAGATCGTGCGGTATCCGCGGATCATTCGGATCGCCATGACCCTCTGTGCCATAAGCAGCGCCCGAGCGGGCCGCTGCAGCAGGTTCGGCGCCCAAACAGGGGCGCCGTAGAGGGCCATGGACCGCACGACCCCGGCGTATAACCTCCGGCAGGAGGCGTTTGGCCCCCCGAGGTTGGGGAGGATGCGCTTAAACGCAGCCCCACCCTCGCCAACTTTGGAGCCAAACGTCGGAAGTGCTCCACGAAGTTCCATCGACTGTCGAGGACGAGTCCCAGGTACTTCATCGCCGTCTCGACGCCGATGGTAACCCCTCCCGCCATTATTTGAGACCCACCAGGAGGTGGCGCATTCCCGCGGCCATGAAAACACATGGCCTCGGACTTGTGGAGCGCCACCTCGAGTCCCAACTGCCGGATTCTCTCAACGACTGTCGCAAACCGCTGTCGCCATTAAATCGGCCGCCGCCTGGTGCGACCTCCCGTGCGCTAGCACCAGCGTGTCGTCGGCGTAGCATATCATGCTAACGCCGTTCGGGAGGTCGGTGCGCACACCCAGTCATAACCGATGTTCCACAGGAGCGGCCCCAGAACCGAACCCTGTGGAACACCGCGTGACATCTCTCGCCGGTTCCACTCGCCCCGGTGACCGGGGTAGATGACGGACCTGTCCGTCAGGTATGCCTCGATTACACGACGGAGGTGGTAGGCACCCGATGATATCGGAGTGCCTCCAAGATGCAGCTCCAGGGCAGGGAGTTGAAGGCGTTGGCGATGTCCAGAGACACCGCCACTACGACCTTACCCCTGGACACTGCAGTCCCCGTCGTCCGGTCCCTAACGCGCATGATGGCGTCCACCGTGGAGCGCCCTCTGCGGAAGCCGAACTGGCCGTCCGATAGGTCCGGCCCAATATCCGTCAGGTGCGCGACGAGGCGGTTCGAAATGATTCTTTCGAAGACTTTCCCCACCTCGTCGAGCAGCAACTATGGGCCGGTACGCGGACGGAGAGTCCGCAGGGCGCCCGTCTTCCGCACGAGGACCAGTTTTCCCGCTTTCCAGAGCAGCGGGAACTGGCCTCTCTCCAAGCATGCGCTGTAGAGACCGATTAATCGAGGCCTGAGAGCCTCTGAGGCCAGGACCCATGCTTTGCCATGCAAGCCGTCGGGTCCTGGGGCGGTGTTCTTGGCGCCCATCCGGCGCACCGCCGCTCTCAGTTCTGCCTCGGTCACCTCTGGGACGATGTCGTCGTCGTCGCTATAGCCCGCGTCGGGCACCGCAGGGGGCGGAGTCATATACGGAGGGGTGAAGCCCCTCCACAGCCGGGGGAACAGGGCGCCAATTACCTCCTCAACGACCTCTGGCCGGAGACTCTGAGTGAGCGGGGGAGCCCAAGCGCGAAGCTTGTCGCGTACCATGCGGTACGGGCGTCCCCACGGGTCTCTATTCAGAGTCCCCAGCATCTCCCGGCGGGCCTCCTCCTTGGCCCGCAATATCTCCGCCTTGAGGACGGCTTTCGCCGCCCTGTATCCCTCATACAACTCCGCCTCTCTCGCCTCCGCATTTGGAGGACGGAGACGGCGCCTGCGGTGCCTAGTGTACTGGCGTCGCGCAGCAGTGCACGCCTTGCGTAGAGCTGCCAGCTCTTGCGACCACCAGTACACCTGGCGCTTTTGTTGCCTCGACCGGATCCGGGGCATCGCCACGTCACAGATCCTGGACATGGCGTCCTGGAGCCACTTGGCCTCATCGTCAATGTCGGCAGGCCTGACCGGTGGTATCACCCAGGCCTGCACGATGGCGGCTTCCAGGAGCAGCTCCCGGTCCAGCTGTTTCAGCGCCCAACGCGGGCCACATGGGGCCTGTCTGACCGGCGGATCCGCGGACTCGGCGGAGACGTTGAACCGGATATACCGGTGGTCGGAGTACGTCTCCACCTCCTCCATGACACGCCAGTCAACGATACGTGGTGACAGAGCAGGGCTGGCGAACGAAATGTCCACCACCGACTCGCCCTGCATCCGCACGCACGTAGGGACAGAACCCCGGTTCAAGACGACTAGGCCTGCCTCAAGGGCCCAGTCTTCCACCATCCTACCCCGGACGTCGGTGAACCGGGAACCCCAAGCCAAATTCTTGGCATTGAAGTCCCCGAGGACGAGCACGGGGAGGGAACGGAACCCGACGACGACTGTGACCAACTCCATCAAGGAGTTGTGGAACTCGGCGAGAGTTCGGTTCGGAGAGAAGTACACGCCCACCACAGCGAGCTCTCCGAACCGTGCTGCGACACAACCCCGGCCTCTTTGAGCTGCCTCAAGAGTCGGGGTACCGGCGGCGGCCGATGAGATGATGGTCACCGAGCCGTCCAGGTCCGCCACCCAGTGATCCCTGGGCGGGACAAAGTACGGCTCGGAGACCACGGCGACATTGATCGACCACTGCGCCATGCTCTGGAGCAGGAGATCCTGAGCAGCGGCGCAGTGGTTAATATTCGCCTGGAGGAGGCGGAATGGAGCCATTATTGACAGTCCATTCCGATCTCCTCAGTAGCGGCAGCGGCGACTGCGGCGGCAGTGCGCGGCGGCGGCGGCGGAAACGGCAGGGGTGGCGGAGGGCCTACCTTTGCCCTTGGGTTTGGCAGGAGGGGAGCAGCCCTTGCTCCCGACCCGGTGATTGGCCGGCTTGCCAGCCGCCGCACATGCGTTGCAGTGCAGCGGGGCAGTGCAGGAGCCGGCCCTGTGACCGGGCCGACCGCAGCGGAAGCAACAGTCGCTGCGGTCCACCTCTGAGGTGCATTTGGCGCTCACGTGCTCCCCCACGTGACAACGGTAGCACCTCAGAGGCCGGGTCTCGAGCAGCTTTACCTGCGCCGAGACCCATCCCACCAAGAGCCTTTTGCCCTCCTTCAGCTTCTTGGCCGCTGTGGGGCAGCTCACCACCACCGTGCGCAGCCCCGAGTTGTCCGGACGGATGGTGCCCGCCTTGATCTGGTCAGCAGGGCACCCTCCCGTCCTGGCCACAGCGGCCACCACCTCACTTTCCGTGACGGAGTCGTCCAGGCCCAATATCCGGACATCCACACATTTGGTGGGCCTGGACACGCGGGCCTCGTCTGCCCCGAGGCACGCCCTAAGCCTCTCAGCCAGGGCGTCGGCCGACGGGCCACTGGCCGCGCCGGGGACCTCCAGTAGACGGGCTCCGGTAGCGGTCACCTTGACCGCAAACCCGTCCGGGGCCCCGAACTCCGCAGGTGTTACCGCCCCCTTGAGCTTGGCGAGGACGTCACCATAGGTAACGCCCCTATTGACCGCCTCGGGCTGCAGTGTAATAACTACAGCCGCGGTCTTAGGGGCGAGGAGCAAGGCAGCAGCGCGTTTCTCCCTGCGCTGCTGCTGCCGTCGCTGCCGCTGCGCCTTTTTGCGGCGCTTTCGGCCCTCCCTGGCGACTCTCCTCGCCTCGCCGGCGATTTGCCAACCGCCGCCGTCCTCCACTCGCGGGGCGGGTTCCGCCGCCGCTGCTGCAACTCCAGCTTGCCGGGCTGGAGTGTCCCTCCTCTTTTTGCGCCTCATGGGCGCAGGCGCCGAGGCCTGCGGGCGGGGGCGCCGAGGGCTCGCTTTGGGCGGTTGGGGGCCGCGGCCAGCCTGACCAGTGGAGGTCGGAGGCTTGGCCACAGCAGCCGCGTATGAGCCCGATGCCGCGGGGGGGAGGCCCGGCTCGATGCGAGCGGGGGGCGCAAAAGCCTGCCCTCCAGCACGTCAAAACGTCGCTGGAAGGCAGCCATCTCCGCTCGCAGCAGTCCGACTACGTCGGACTCCGCCGGGGGCTGGGGGTGACTGCCGCGAGCAGCGGCGAGCTCGGCCCTGGCCGTCCGCAGCTCGGCCTCCAGGGCCGCATTGGAGGCCGCCAAGCGCGCCAGCTCCCGCCGCATCTCGCCCAGCTCGGAGCGCACCTTTTCTGCAGTGGGCACCGCGCACTGCTCCAAGGCTGCCTCCGTAATAGTGGCCACCGCCGCCCTGAGGAGGGAGAGCCTAACCGGCTGGGATTTCCCCATAGCCAGTTTATGGAGCACCTCCGTGATGGCCTGTCGGAGGTGCCCGGAGCCGCTCGCGCTCTCGGAGCCCGACTCGCCCTCCGAAACCTCCACGCCGGACATCTCGGCTGCGGAGGACTCTGAACGGGCAGCGCTCGAGAGAGCCCTGCCCTCCGCAGCTCGCTCGGCTGACTCCACGCAGGCAACTGGTGCCGGTTTCCGGCGACCGCCGCCCTTGCCGCCCCTACCCCGCGCCGCCGTTGGGACTTTAGGGGGAGGCGCCTGCGCGCCGGAGGACGGGGACGAAGCGTCCTCCTCCAGCCTGGGACGCTTAAACGTCCCCGTCACGCGACGGCGTGAGCCCTTCGAGCTCACGCTCAGCCGATCCGCCAGTGATGTGTCGGACTCAGGGTCCGACACCATCGTAATTGATGCCCGTGTGTGGGGCACGCTAGATGTGTCCAGCGTCTCCCCACGGGCGCCAGAGCCCCTTAGGTTCCCCTCTACTACGTCTGCAGGTGAGCCAAGCTCACCCGCACTCTCCTCCTCCGAATGTGGTTTGTGTGATAAATTCTCCATACAGTTCCCACGAGTATGGGGGAAATATTCGGTCCACCCAGGCAGTGCCCCCTGTACCTGGGTAAGTGTTCATTTGTTTCCCAACTAGAGGTTCCACTGGTCCCCTAGCTGGGGGTGCGCTCGCGACTGACACTACTCCTCAGCCATGCATACTCTCGCCGCGCACCAGAGCTTAGTATTGGAGGAATTTTTTATAGAGGTTATCTTCCTCGCGGTCCGGGCGACCAAGCCAAGACCCTCGTCCCGTTCAGAGTCACAAAACATGACCGTGACCTCCTTACGGGTTACGATATCGACGGCTGCAATCGGGGACAGCTTGTGTCCCGATGCTGCTCGCTGGCAGGGTGAGTGCACAACGAGCACCGCCCTTGCCTCTACGCCACGCTCTCTGCTATGTCCAGAGAGACGGGCGGAGAAACGCCCCTCGGAAGCGCGGGCTATGAGCCTCCGCACACAGCCCGCCGCCTCCAGAACCCTATCGGGTTCGCCCGCCCAGTCCAGAAGTCTGCTGCGGGCGACAGTCACTCCAACCCTATCACCCCCGCTAGGGAGACTGTCGCCCGCACCCAGGGTGCACCACGGGGAGGTCTTCTGGCACCGCACCCCTCGATAGTTCCCCATAACTTCCATTTCACACACGTCACCAGAAAAGGTGTGTTGTGTGGGGAAAATTGTGCAATTTTTTTATATGTATTTTCAGGAGACGGCCCCCTAGTATCTCCGGATTCGCAAGTACTATTGCACTATGCTGCGTATTATGAAAGATCTGAAGTGCCTTTCGATACGTCACTCACAAGTATATCAGGAAACTCCGCCGCATTACCCCGTGTAAGTACATCATCTATTACAATAGGGTAGATGACTAATTTTTATTTTAATGTCTGTCTGGTAGATTATTTTAAAACAATAGACACGTATTTTTTATTTTCTTACAGATACAAATTCTTTGGACGACATATTGATTTGAAATGTCGCGTGACGTCACTTCTATTTAAACTTATTTACTAAATTATTACGTATACCGACACAAAAATGATGTTTAAATACCAAGATGTGTGTGATAGACGAATGTTTCTATACATATCTATTGATATGAAATTACCCACACATGTATATTGTGTAAATGATAGTTGTGTCGATGTGTAGCGCCGCGAACTAATTAGCGGTGCTTTGTGTACGTTTTATACGTAGAAATGACGTTTTTACTCCCACTCCTAAACTTTAATCTGTTTTATCTAAGTATTGTTTTCTTGTACGACAAAATAAAAAAATACGTGTCTAATATTTTTTCATTACCTAACTGACGTACTAATTAGATTTTTAATTTTCATACCCTGTCATCAATCCTATTTTGTTTGTTATGACGGGCTAGTCTCCAGAAATAGTGGTCGATTGTAATTTTTTTTTTGGGTTATTCATGTATCGAAGAAGGCTATAGGCTAGACCAATAGGAGCCGATCGGGTGGAACCGCACAGTTTGTGTGTGTGTGTGTGTGTGTGTGTGTGAGTGAAGTGAAATTTTTGAACTAAATTTTGAATTGTCATTTAGTATGGTGGAAGGAAAAAGAGAGATAAAAAAGATTGGACTCAGTGTACAGAGACACTCTCTATTATAAGGGACTCATAACATAAAGATATGACTTTGTTACAAAGCTATTAGTATAATAATAGTTACTGTCTCTGTACTGAATCAATCTTTATTTCATTACCTGAATACTAATCAGTTTAAAGTAATTCTTTATTATAGTGTTACAAGTAAATAATCGACTAAAATAATAATAAAAAGTAAGATTAAATATTTACAAAGTCAAAACATTTATTTTAATTAAATAATTTGGTACTTTTGAAATGTCAACAAATACAAAATAAATAATAATCTGTCAGTCAATCCGTCAATGAAGCTAGGTGAAGCTAGGTGCTCATTCCAAAATGTACATTCGAATGGAGAAGAACGAGCAAGAAACTCCATTTATTACTCTTTTTAAAAAAGTATGTTCTACAATGTCTCTGATACATTCCAAAACTGTATGTATATGTGAGAACAATTCAGAGACACGCTTGACTTTATACGAATTTAAATTAAATAAATTTACAACTTGAAATATAAATAACTAAAAACTAAAATATTTACACCTTAAAAAATGTAATAATTAATAATATTTTTAACAATTATTTTCAGCGGTACCGAATGGGAATAGGGGAAATCCTAACCGGTTTGGAAGTTGGTCTTCTCAACGTAAAGGGCCCGAAGGCCAGATTCCACCTGCTTCTACAACCAGATGTAACGTGGGGTAACTTGGGCGTACTGCCACGTATACAGCCGAAGCCAGTCCTGTTTGTTGTATGTCTATATGACGTTAGACTTGAAGCGGCTGCTGCTAGGTGAGTGAAGGAATAATTTAATATTGATTATCTTGTAAGAATCGTAGTTGGTGTTCCATAGTCTCTGCCTACCCATGGGACAACATGGAAGTAAAGCGTGAGTTTTTAGGCTATGAAACATCACGCTGTGATCAATATTCAATATTTGACGGCACGGTTGGTGCGGTGGCTGGGCAAATGGCTGCCGTGCGTCGGGTCGGGTTCGATTCCCGCACGGAGCTCTCTTTGTGTGATCCACAGATTGTTGTTTCGGGTCTGGGTGTGTATGTGAACTTCTATGTTTGTAGACGCACCCACGAGAAAGTCCTAGTGTGGGGCAACGTTTAAAAAAAACAGCCGAACAATGGGTGAAACCATCCGAAACTATCAAACTAGCTAGTCTTTATATTATTATATATAATTCTTCTGTGAGTGTGTATGTCACTGAACTTCTCTCAAACGACTGGACCGATTTTGATGAAATTTTTGTGTGTGTTCAAGGGGATCTGGGAATTGTTTAGATTCACAAATCAGCCTGGCAGATGGCGCTGCAGTCGATGTTTAGGTTATTTATCCTAAACAGCTGAACTAATTTGAATGAATTTTTGTTTATACATTCAAGTGGATATGCAGGACAACGTCTGTCGGGTCCGCTAGTCTATGTATATGAAACCCGTTTCCCGTTGTCACGCCATAACTTGAGAACGGCTAGACCGATTTGGCTGATTTTTGTTTTGTTGTGTTTGTTATCGTCAAGACAAGGTTCTTATGACAGAAAAAATCCTAAAAATCCTAAGGGAATGGAAGAAACGGGATTGCGCGTACGAATTCGCGGGCAGCGCTAGTATGAAATAAAAATACCTAATACTTTGTACACAAATACAAGACAGCCTCGCTAGGGATTGTGATTGGTGACTACTTCATCAATGTTTTAACTAATACTACTCTTATTTTTTCAGATTCAATGACCTCCCAAGTTCGGAGCAAATGAAATTCGAAACAACAGTAACTACTATAAAGGACATACGCGCAGTCGCCAAAGACCTATTCACAAGAAAAAAATATTCACAAGCTATCAGAAATTATGAACACGGCATCTCTATATTATCTGTGTGCCAACCACAGACTGAAGAGGAATTAAAAGAGGTCAACGACCTTAAAGTAGCCATCTTTGTCAACCTGGCTACTTGCTATTACAAAACGAATAGACCAAAACATATTTTAGGCGTTTGCAAGCATATTAATAGAATTATCGATATAAATACTCATTGCAAAGCTTTGTTTTATTACGGTAGGGCTTATGAATTTCAAGGTAAATTTCAGGAGGCTATTTCTTATTATAAAAAAGCGCTTCAAATAGAACCGAAAAATAAAGAGATAGGGAAGGCTTTAGCCGAGTTAGATGCTAGGCTTAAAAAAGCAGAAGTTGATGAAAAAGCCATGTGGCGTAAGGCTCTAAGTCAGGACGCAGAAATACCTGTGCCTGTAGAGGAAAAAATTAAAAAAGTATGCTACGTTGTCGATGAAGACTTTAGGAAGGGCGTCTTTGACATGTGTCAAGATTTGGCGGGAAGAAAGGATTATGCTAAATTCGATTTGCCGCCGGGTTTGACGAAAGATGAAGTAGTTTGTATTAAAGATTTAACGAGCGAGTTCGAAGGTTTGACTGTTATGGAAGATGGCGAGGGCAAACGGAAAAAGGTTTCGATTGTAAAGCAAAATCTGTAAGTGCGCCATTTTTTCTTTTTTTTTTGTTTATACAGTATACGATTATGTCAAAGGTAGCCAGCCAACAAAGTCAAAGCATTTATTTCAATTAAACCATAGTTTGGTACTTTTGAAACGTCAACAAATACAAAATAAATAATAGTATGTCAGTCAGTCCGTCAGTGAAACTAGGTGAAGCTAGGTGCTCATTCCAAAATGTAGATTCGAATGGAGAAGAACGAGTAAGAAACTCCACTCCACAATGCAGTAAACTATGTACTGTCGTTTATTTTATTCCGGTACCTATTTTCTTTGGCATATCGATGTTTTCTTAATAAAATGCAACTATTGACATCTTTTGATGTCTGAAATTGCAACTTATCCTCAGAAATGCAGCTAATGTATCAGTGTAATTATTATTTTCATGATATGCCGCTTTACAGTCTAAACTTTACTGAAAAAGTGTATTTTACGGTATAGTTGACATATCGTTAAATTGCTCTGTCAATCAGCTCAATTTGAGTCAGAAATCTCAATTTTTTGAAACACAATACGTGTGCTAATAGCTATTTTATTTTATGTAGGAGCTAGGATTTAAGTAGTGTAAGCTAAAGAAGTATGTAAGGAGCGTAGTAGGTGGCGCTCTGTAGTTTCTGTATACCATCAGATGTATGAATGTGATGTAAGCTAAAGAAGTATGTAAGGAGCGTAGTAGGTGGCGCTCTGTAGTTTCTGTATACCATCAGATGTATGAATGTGATGTAAGCTAAAGAAGTATGTAAGGAGCGTAGTAGGTGGCGCTCTGTAGTTTCTGTATACCATCAGATGTATGAATGTGATGTAAGCTAAAGAAGTATGTAAGGAGCGTAGTAGGTGGCGCTCTGTAGTTTCTGTATACCATCAGATGTATGAATGTGATGTAAGCTAAAGAAGTATGTAAGGAGCGTAGTACGTGGCGCTCTGTAGTTTCTGTATACCATCAGATGTATGAATGCGATGTAAGCTAAAGAAGTACATCAGATGTATGAATGCGATGTAAGCTAAAGAAGTATGTAAGGAGCGTAGTAGGTGGCGCTCTGTAGTTTCTGTAAACCATCAGATGTATGAATGTTTTGTAGCTAAAGAAGTATGTAAGGAGCGTAGTGGGTGGCGCTCTGTAGTTTCTGTATACCGTAGGATAGGGCTGTCAAAACTACATAGGGTACCTATATAAAAATAAATTTGTTATAAAAGATGGAGGGCTAGAAAAATATTTTCAGTTGTATAATGACGTAACATTGTATTCTTTACTCGCAGACTAAACTTGCTTACAAATCATACACTGAATTTTATTATTGTTGTTGCACATAAGATGGAGATGTTGAGATTAAAATGTGTGTCGCGGGCCTTTCTTTGGGCAGCCCTGCCGTAGGACGAAACCATTGTCACAAAGACGTAAGTTTATGTGCTAAGAAATAAGCCTAACTAAAGAAGGGTTCTTCAGTATCTTTAAAATATTATATCTAATACATAATCCTAGATTACAAAACTAGTCACCGGTTCAATAAGATGTACACACGGCAACACATCAAGCATCATGACAACCAGTATAGAGTTACCGTTGTATGAATGGGATGAACATATAAAGCCAGGTCATGATACACTGGCTTCGTATAGCTCCATACATCAAGCTAACAAACCAGTATAAATTGATCTTTGAATGAATGGGATAATCATATAAAGCTAGGTCATGATAAATTGGTTTTTGTATGTCAATGTGAAGTCGTGTGTGTGCGTACTTAATGTGTTATAGTGTGTTTGAAAGTTAGGTTTAAGAATTATGATTATTATACTCATCTTTGAGGCTGGAATAGGAATGATTACGGGGTATGAAAATTAAAAATCTATTTAGTCCATCAGTTAGGTAATGAAAAAATATTAGACACGTATTTTTTTATTTTGTCGTATAAGAAAATAATATTTAGATAAAACGAATCAAAGTTCAGGGTTGCTAGCTACGTCATTTGTACGAATAAACCGTATATAGAAGTGACGTCACGCGATATTTCAAATCGATATATCGTCGAAAGTATTCGTTTCTGTAAGAAAATAAAAAATACGTGTCTAATGTCTTAAAATTATCCAGCAGACAGATATTACAATACAAATTAGTCATCTACCCTACTGTTTGTATGGAGGAGAATTGGGTAGTTTCCAGGGTATCAAAATTAAAAATCTAATTAGTTTGCAGTTAGATAATGAAAAATTATTAGACACGTAATTTTTTATTTTCTCGTATTAATTTGCATTAGTTACATAAAATGGCGCTAAGTTTAGGAGTTCGTTAGGTCGTTACGTCATAACGTGCTACAAATTGTGGCACGCTGTGACGTCACACGATATTTCAAATTAATATATCGCCGAAAGTATTTAATTTTGTGAGAAAAGAAAAAATACGTGTCTAAAGTTTTAAAATAATGTACCAGACGGACATTAAAATAAAATTTAGGAAACTACCCTATAAGGTGTAGGACGTAGGTAACATATAATGTGTGCATCTTTGCCTACCCCTTCGGGGATCAAAACGCGTGATTGTATAAGAGAATTGTTTAAAACATAAGCCTAGTATTTAAGACTATAGTCATGGTAGCCTAAGCTCTACTTATAAACATTAAAATTAGTATTTTAGATGTTTAAAACATTCTGGGTAATTGTGATAATTTTGATGCCATCTTTTGTACGTACTCGAAGTACATTTTTTAATATTTTGACCGCCATATCATCGGCCTATAAGTGCTCACTGCTGAGCAAAACCTCTTCTCACACGGATAAGGTTTGAGCATTAATCACCACGCTCGCTCAATGCGGGTTAGCGATTTCAAACTTATAATTAGAAATTATAAACCCAGGTTTCCTCGCGATGTTTTCCTTCACCGTTTGGCAGTGGTGTCTAAATAATCGTTGAAAGTATTTATAACTCGGAAAAAGTCACATTAGTATTTGCCATTGGAAGGTTTCGATCCCGCGCCCTCATGCATGAGAAGCGGGCATCCACCACGAAATATGGAAAAATACAAAAATACTGACTGCACGGTTGGCTGCCGCGCAACGGAACAACTCTTTGTGTGATCCACAAATTGTTGTTCCGGGTCTGGACGTCATGTGTATGTGATATTGTATGTTTGTAAACGCACCTACGACACTGGAGAAAATCCTAGTGTGGGTAAATGTTTTTAAAAAATGGAAATGAAATGTTATAAATAAAACGTTGTAAAAAGCACATGCATTAAGCTACAAGTTTCGAAAGAACCGTTACTAACTTATATAGTGAAATTAAGGATTATTTTTCGAAATATCAAAAGTGATTAAGATGATTCCTTAGAATTTTTGTATGAAACAATGTATTAATTACGTTTGACAAAACATTCTCATTCTAATCGCAATTAAATATCATTTTTTGATCCGATATTTTTAACGCCAGATTAATTTTAACTGAGGAATAACTTTGAACATTTTGACAAATTGTTCCACATACTTAAAAAAAAAGCTGTCAAATGACAATTTTATTCTAGTCACCTCTATTTTAACAAACTCGTTTTTGCCAAGCTACGAATCGGGTACTTTCCTAAATAATTTCGACAGTTTGATACAATAAAATGTTAAACAATAATCACACTTCCATTCATTGATTTTATGACCAACTTAATTTTAGTATTGTTCCAGCAAATTTTTAAGAAATAAGTATGCTGTTTGACTCTAAAAAACGTGACGTCACAATACACAATCTCGTATAAAATTCATTAAAGACTGTCGTATATGACAGTTCGAAAAAAGTATTGAATTTGACTAGTTGGCAAATACTGTATTACAAGAATCTCAATTAAGAATAGATTGTGTCATTCAGTCGTTACTATGTTGTGTTAGGTTGTATTTTATAATAATAGTTTATTATTATAAGACTAGCTTTTACCCGCGGCTTCGCTCGCGTCAAAAAAGGATAAAATCCAATGTGACATATACCAATACACACAGCGCCATCTATACCAATACTTTTGTTTTTCCTCGGAAATATCAAATTTTTCCGGGATAAAAAGTACCCTATTATTTAATCCGGACTTCTAACTATACATCTGCAAAAATTGAAACCAATCGGTTTAGTAGTTACGGCGTTAAAGTGGAACAAACAAACAAACCCACTTTCCGATTTATAATATAAGTAAGGATTTGAGATTTAGGATTATTATTATAAGATTTGAGATTTAAGATTATAATAATAGTTTGTGTCTATGATTGTCACTCAATCAAGTCAAAACAGGTGAAGGGATCAGGATGAAATTACAGGGGCACATTATAGTATGGAATAACACATAGGCTACTTTATCCTACTGGAACTTGGGCAAAGCCACTGTAAGAAGCTAGTTGTCTATGTACGTGACTATGGCGGTCAAAATACACCTCAAAACCTATTTTTTAAGTTGTTTTCATACTTGATTTAGAGTTTAAAAGGAAAAGATAATGTGTTGTATTTAATATGTAGGTACTTGGAGTACAATTTAAGCTTTTTTACCAAAATTGTGATTTATGTAAGGCAGTTTCTAAGTAAGTTTTAAATATTGTAATGTAAACTTTTTGAAATATACAAAGTACATTCCAATTTATATTTTTGTTTTATTTTTAAACTTCAAACCAGCAGCTGTAGCCAAATGCCATTTAGCGCTTGTCTACATGTAGAATAGAACACCAAATCATATGGAATTGACGTAAATTTTGACACTTGTCAGTGTCATCCCCATACATTTACATTTCTACTCTCTCTGTAGACAAGCGCTAAAGTGGCGTTTGGCTAGAGGCCGTGATAATATGTATCTATATGAAGAGGTATCTACTTTATTAACACGTTTACTGCCGCGTAGGTCACCGGTGACCTACGTTAGCGGAGGATTTGCCTTCAACAGTTTTCTGTCAGCAATCAAAGGCTTAAGGGTCAATCTTTCCAACGCCAGATAAAATTAAATGTAAACTGAAGAATAATTTTGATATTTGTATATGTATAATACAATTGTTCCATTCTGCCTCTGCGTGGCGAGTGGTCGCAAGTGCGACTGCCGGGCAAGGGATCTCGGGTTAGATTCCTGAGTCGGGCAAAGTACTACTGGGTTTAAAAAAAAAATATATCTTAGTAGTAGCATGGAGTCTAGAATTGTGCCCGGTATATGGCAAGCTCAATCCCTATTACATGGGACACATAATATAAATAGTGAAAAGTGGATGTTACATTGTACCTATAGTGGCATTAAGTTTAGTAATGTGCACCTCTGCCTACCCCTTTAGCTCGAAGTGCATGAGTAGGAACTGAGTGGTTTTTAGTCAGTAAGAGTGTGACACTCGCACCCACCTCACCCAGGCGGGAGAAGTCATTCGATGATATATCCCGTTAAAAAAATCCCTTCGGAGATAAATGTGAAAAATGAAATGTGTGTTTAGAATTAATGGAATATAGGTATATTCCATTCATTCTAAACTGTCAATTTTATTCTACACTTTTTTTAAGGGGGGGAAATCATCGAATGACTGCTCCCGCCTGGGTGAGGCGGGAGGGAGTGTCAAACTCTTACTGACTAAAAATCACCCCGTTCCTTCTCCTGCACATCGATCCGGAGCCCCGATTACCCGTTAGGTTCTCCGAGACAATTTTATTCTACACTGGGGCCAAGTAGAATAAAATTGACAGTTTTCAGTATGGAAGAATTGTCAAATATTCAAACTTATTCCTCAGTTCTTTAACTGAGCATTGATAAATCGGCCCCCGATTTTATTTAAAAAGCAGCCATAGTTATAAGATTTTTTAACGTGTTTCTTTTGCGTTTATTAACAGCCAATTTTTCAATCAACAGTTAAGAATTAACTGTAGGTTAAAATTAACATTGCACAATGCACAGTTTTTATAGTAAGTATAGATTAATTGTCACATATTGAAAAATATTCCTTTGATTTTTTTTTATATTTCAAAAATCTGTTCTTAATGTAGGTACTTAAGTTTTTTTTTCTATGAATAGAATGGTACAAAAAACCAATTACACTACTCAATACTTAAACAATTGAAAGAAACTATACATTTAAAAAACTCCATCATTACTAAATAGGTACTATATTATATAGTAGTTCATTCATCTCTTTCTATGTCATGGTACCATATCATTAAAATATAATAAATATTCCTAGGATACTTCAGATATTTTCATGTCATATCAAAGAGGTATTCTTTGAAGTCTTTGAAGAATACCTCTTTGATATGCATGACATGTCTTCAAATTGAAGATAAGGGCTTCAAAAATTCAAATTGGTGTGAAAGATTTAAGTAGACCACAAAATTACAATTAAAATAATTTTGAGTGAAGTTATTTCCAGTTTAAAAGATATTCTACATTATGATCATTTACTATTTTAAAGTACCTACCTAAATGCATAATGAGTTCCTTTAAAAAAGATTTGCTATGCATGTTAGGAGATCATTTTAAAAATTACAAGTTTATCAATGGTTTATCAAGAGCGCTTTTCCCAGTGTTCTAATTTATATCTTCGTTATATTTCTAGTAATTTGGTATTTATCAAAACCAATGTTAGTTAGAGTGATAGAAAAAATAAAATAGTCAGTAATAATAAAATTGTAAATTAGAAGCTACATAAAAAAATTTAGAAGGCAGGTACCTACTATTTGTCAAACTTATGCGAGTCTCTGTGTTATTTTAATTCGTTTACCTTCTGTTTTTTCGTGTAGGTATTAAACAGTTGTACCTAATACGGTTGAATTGTTATACGTAGATACCTACTGAATTTTGTTTAAAAATCATAAGAAAATATGCTACATGCTGCTTTCTCTTTTATAAAATCTATTATGAATGTTTTGTTTTTATTTTCACTGTATTTTTTATTTCTATTGTAATGATCCTTGTTTTCGTGTGCCAATGGCCAAATAAATGCATTTTCTTTCTTTCTTTCTCCAAATGTCACTAATTGTGCACCCGTTGGATCTTAGGAACGCGGACGCTCGACGGGTTAAGAAAATTTCTCGCCGTAGATATAAAGGCACTTAAAAATTACGTTCTTGAACAAATAAGCAATTTTTGGGCTTAAAATTCTGCCGATTTGAGCTCAACATTTTAAATTATAGTACTGACTTAATTCGTGGACCAAATTTCAAAATGTGAACTTTTCAAACTTTTGCCTGAAGTAGTTCATTCATTCTGCAGTTCGCTGACTCATTCATCTTAGGGATGCAGGTGCAATAAATTTTAACCTATTCGATTTAAATGTATTCGAATAAAATCGATTTAAAATTGTAATCACAGTAAAAGATCTAGCTAAATATTAGGTTGACGAGTTTACATTGATAATCACTACATAGTATTAAACAAGGTCACTATCCGCCGTCTCCCTGTCCCTATTTATGCTTAGATCTTTAAAACTACGCAACGAATTTAATTGCGGTTTTTTTTAATAGATAGTGTTTCGTAAGGAAGGTTTATAAATATAGCACATATTGCACCCATGCGAAGCCGGGGCTGGTCGCTAGTTATAAATATATAAAAAAAATCGTATTGTAGAAAACCGTTGAGCTACCGTTTGGGTTACCGTAATAATACAACAGAAATGATTGTCTAAATCCTTACTATCCTTACTTCCTTTCCTTACTTATATTATAAATCGGAAAGTGAGGTTGTTTGTTTGTTTGTTCCGCCTTCACGACGTAACTACTGAACCGATTGCTTTGAAATTTTGCCGTCGTAAAGTTAGAAGTCTGGATTAAATAATAGGGTACTTTTTATCCCGGAAAAATTTGATATTCCCGAGGGTAAACAAAAGTATTGGTATAGATGGCGCTGTGTGTATTGGTATATGTCACATAGGCTACTTTTTATCCTTTTGTGACGCGAGCGAAGCCGCGGGTAAAAGCTAGTTTAAAATAAAATAAAAAGTAAACATTTTCACAAATCGAGTTTAATCCAAAAATATTTAGCGCGGGAACCAACCAACGGCACTCGTATTGTCTCTTTACTATAAAAAGCACTTATATGGCTTGATAGTCATCATTTTCATGAGTGCATTAAGTAGCGACAAGTATCAAACTTAATAGTTTTCACATTTTTATGAAGTTGGTTTTTCATTCATGCATGTCACCTGTTCATAAAAACAAATGTATTACTTCACTTCATTATTGATAAATTATAGAAACTTTTTCTAAAATATAGAGTAGATCCTTTGTTTGAACGCGTTAATCTCCGAAACTACTGCATAAAATTAAGTAATTATGTTTGCGTTAGATAGTTCGTTTATCGTGAAAGGCTATAGAACAATAACACAACGTCACGGTTAATAGCAGCCGAGCAACAGGTAAAACGCGCGATCGTAGCCAGTTGATTATAAAATTATAATGTTTTATTGTACAATGTATGTACATGAAAACCCCGATCCTATTCTCATTTTGAAATCAGGGATAATGGATACAGATTACTTACATTTTTGACTTTTTACTTATTAGAGGGCTTTATGTCTTACAGCCAAAAGTTTTATACATTTGATATTATATTGCATATGAGTACCATGTTTCATTAAAATCGGTTCATTAGTTTCCAAGATTTTTGATAGTAGGTACATATGTACAAAACGAAGTCATAAAAAACTACAGTTGATAAGATAATTACCTATATTAACGTAAAAAAAACTATAATGTACAAAACTAACTAACAAATAGTTGTTTTAATTTTTTATATTATCAGTAGTTTTTAAGTTTTATATGTATAGATTAGTAGGTAGGTACTATAAACTATTACACAAATATAAATTTCAATTATAAACTGGAAAATAAAATAATAAAGAGCTAATTCATAAAAATCAATCAAAAACATGTAAATCAGCTATATTCGCGTCGAGAAGTTGATTAGAGAATTCAATATTAGGTTTTTATTAATTGAAATATTTTCCTTTTTAAAAATCGATTAAACAATTAATTATTATATGACCGGCAACCCTAAATTCAATGACATTTCATTTCGTTCAGTTTTGAGTGACGTATAAATATCAGTGTCAGGTAAACACATCACAGTTTTATTGATTGACGAAACTCAACGAGAGTGCATATTAGTATATTTATTAATTTCGCGTGTAGTTTGATTTCAAACTATAATAATTTACTACTTTAAGTGTTACGAGAACATATTGTGTAAGTATAACCTCTTATTTATTTGTACTTTTCGAATGTTGCCGGGCGGTTGAATTATGTTCGCATTGGCGGGTAGAAATTTATATGGGCTTAGCATTAAAACGTCGAAATAAGCAGTTTTTATGAAGTGGAAACATGACAAACAGTCTTTCTTTGTGATATAGGGCGATGTATTTGATGACCTTGGGCGTGAAACCTAAAATTATTGATTATTTTTGACGCATGCGTTCAGGGTCTATAAGTTTTCGCGCACCGCACAAGTCGCGCAGCGTCAATGCAGTACCTTGGGTGCAATCAATACCCAGTTATTACACTGCAGTACATCGTAAAGCTCCTTAAATTGTGATAAATTCACCGACAATTCACATCTTATCTTCGCCGCGTCTGTAAGTATGAAATCGATATTAGAATAGCAATTGTGGATTTATCGTGAAAGTGGATAATACCTTACAACTTCGGAGCTGCGGGGGAAATGGTGTGAGACGACATTGCGCCCCTATTTATACCCTCGGTTCGACTTGCGCGGTCCACATTGCGACGTTTTCTCTTTAGCCGCGAAATTAAACCTTAATGCCAAATTATATTCCATTTCTGCTTTTCCTAAATCTATATGGGTAGGAAATCTATATACTTTTTCATTGTAAAATTCTTGTATATCTTTTAAAGGCGAGAAACCTTTTTATACATAAATTTTAATTCTTTATTTGTTCTAGCTTAACTTATTTGTATATGTAACCTATTTGACAAGTATTCGATGACTGTGGTAACCTCTTTTGCTTGCTGATAATTATTATTTGTTAACTTCGGGGATTATGGAAACATCTAAGTACTTGTTAAATGTTATATTTATATCTTTGTGGGTATATAGAAATACTTCAATATGTTACTAAATACATAAAAAAATATGTTAAACTGTCAAACACCAAGGGGTCACCAGTGACCGCAACCTATTGTTCTTTAATTGTGTCTATAAATACGGTACTCGACGAGTTAAAGGCTGTTCTAATTTGTTATTCACAGTATTAGATGCAAGTGAATGACTTTGATGGGAGCTCGGACAATAAAAAAATATTAGGAATTTCATGAATAATCTAGAAGTAATCAGTTTAGGGATACCCACTTATAATTAAATGTACCTTTTTATTTTCATGTTAGTAGAAAATAATAAAAATGGGGGTAAATAATTTAACTTGTAATATTTTTATGGGTTATAAATTATGCATTTATAACATAACATCACGCCTTTTATCCCCGAAGGGGTAGATAGAGGTGTACATTATGCCACTATACAATGTAACACCCACTTTTCACTATTTATGTTACGAGTCCCATGTAATAGGGGGTAGGCATATTGCTATATTAATGCCACAATTACAGACTCTGTGCTACTACAAAAAAAATTTTAAAACCCAGTAATACTTTGCTTGACCCGTGAATCGAATCCAAGACCCCTTGCCTGGCAGTTGCACTTGTGACCACTCGGCCAATGAGGCAGCTTATGCATTTATAAATCTTCAAATTGCATTCATTCAGTAAAGGGCTATTGTACCATGTACAAAAAATTAAAATCTGATTATTTGGTGTATTCTAAAAGCATAAATAGAGTATCTAACCGAACAGTCACTTTGTCCGCTCTGTACCATATTGGATAGCGGTCCATATTACATTTTCAATAGATACCACTAGACAGGCAAACCAAATCGATGGTACGGTGTCAGTTCAGTTCAATCGCCTATTTATGTTATAACCATTTCGAATATAACACATAAACACAATCGCAGGTCAATTTCTTTTTTAGTCTTTCTTCTTGAAATAACGGAATGATCCTTTATGCCTTATACAGAGGTAGACAGGGGTTTACAAATTACATGTATACCCACATTATAATACAAAATATTGTTTTAGTACTAACGCATAAGAATATGTTCTAATTTCCAATATTTTTTGTCTCACTGTGCTGAAGTGAGTTTTTTTTTTATAAACATTTCCCCACACTAGGATTTTCTCCTGTGTCGTGGGTGCGTTTACAAACATACAAGTTCACATACACACGACACCCAGTCCCGGAACAACAATCTGTGGGTCACACAAAGATTTGATCCGTGCGGGAATCGAACCCGCGACACGTTGCGCGGCAGTCAGTTGCCCAACCACCGCGCCAAGCGTGCAGTCTTTTTTTTTAATTTGAGTATTTTTTTAATTTTAGTTTTTTTTTTAATTTGAATTTTTTTAATTTTAGTTTTTTTTTTTTAAATTTTAGTTTTTTTTTTTTTTTTAGTTTTTTTCCAAATACTTCACTAAGATTTTCTAGTCTCCTGTTTTTTTAGTACTGACATACAGACCCGTATCGTAATGATAATCTGTGCATCACGCAAAGAATTGTTAACCCCTCGAGCGTCCTTATGAGCACCCGGTGGATCATAAAAAAATGCTCCATGCTGCTTTCTCTTTTATAAAATCTAATATTACTTAATGTTTTGTTTTTATTTTGACTGTATTATTTATTTCTATTGTGATGATCCTTGTTTTCGTGTGCCAATGGCCAATTAAATGCATTTTCTTTCTTTCTTTATTCAAATGTCACTTGTGTACCCGTTGGATCATAAGAAACGCGGACGCTCGACGGGTTAAGGAACCTGCAAAATGTTGCATAACAGTCAATAGAACTTATACCTTTCTCTTTGCAACCGGTTGCCTCGCCAAATTCATTAATTAATTCATTCATTCATTTAAATGCCAATCATGGACAGTTTGTGAAAATACCTTAATTATTTTTACACGTGCATACATAACCTGCCTGTCTCCAATGGGGGTAGGCAGAGACTAAGGAACGCCGATTGCTACGATTCTTACATGCCCCTTTCGCTTCATCAACAGTCATTATTCTTTTCATGCATGCTCGTCGGTTAAGAGTACTTTTAATTTGGCCCTTTTTTAATATTAATATGGTATGAATAATTTAATGTCGTATGAGGTCATAATTTAGTATATACATACATAACTTCACGCCTGTCTCCCATGGGGGTAGGCAGAGACTATGGAACGTCAATTACTACGATTCGTACATACCTCTTTCCGCTTCATCAACAGTCGCAAATCAGTCTTTCCTGTATTCATCATCCCACATATTTCTAACATCTTTCCTTCTACGCCTCTATACACATTCAGTGTAGCAAAACAATAGTACAATTTATAATTAGAACACATAACATAACATCACGCCTTTTATCCCCGAAGGGGTAGGCAGAGGTGCACGGAACACCCACTTTTCACTATTTAATTTATGAGTCCCATGTAATAGGGGGTGAGCCTATTGCCATATACCAGGCACATTTCCAGGCTACGTGCTACTACTGAGATTTTTTAGAAATAGTAATATTTTGCCTGACCCAGGGATCGAACCTGAGTATTGATATAGATGGCAAAAATATTGGTATAGATGGCGCTGTATGTACTGGTATAGATGGCGTTGTATGTCATTTAAAACCAGTCAACGAATTACCTACTTATTGGAAAAATCTAAATAAATGTTTGTTTGCCTGTCTTAAACGGCAGAACGGAGGTACTAATTAACGTGATTTTTTACCTGAAGATAGTTGAACGGATGGATAGTCACATAGGCTACTTTTTATCCTTTTGTAGCGCGAGCGAAGCCGCGGGTAAAAGCTAGTGAATAAATAAATAAAACAATGAATTCTGACCTTAGGGTGATGCGGAGAAGAGTTAGTGGTGTATTTATGTGATTTAAACTGTCAAACACCAAGCGGTCACCGGTGACCGCGACCTATTGTTCTTTAATTGTGTCTATAAAACCGGTACTCGACGAGTTAAACTTTCAAACACCGCGAGGACACCGGTGACCGCAACCTATGGTTCTTTAATTGTGTCTATAATGACGCTAATCAAAGAGTTAAATGAGAAATTTCTTTACAGATCTGCTCTACGATGGAACCCCAACCCCATGATCTCATATCCTGCCCCTATAACAAAGCTCATCAGGTAGAGCATTATAAAATGCACGTTCATCTCCAGAAGTGCCGAAAACAGTACCCGGGCAGTGGCCTGGTGAGCTGCCCATTTAATGCAACCCACGTCGTGAATGAGGTTGAACTAAACGTAAGTACCTCTTTTAAACTGTCAAACACCACGAGAACACCGGTGACCGCAACCTATCGTTCTTTAAACAGTTTCTAATAGTTAACTAAAAATCGCGGGTCACTCACGTGAATATACTGAGAAAAGCTCTACTAGTTTCAAACCACAGAGTAGGCTGCGCGACATCGCCGCGACCGCGCACGCTGCTCATGAGGAAGAACCGCTCCCCTTATATATATTTTTTTTTCTTTGGCAACCGAGTCTCCAAAATGGTGTTGTCGACTATACTGCCAGTGTAACCAAATTATATGGAATTGACGTAAATTTTGACACTTGTCAGTGGCATCCCCATACATTTTGATTTCTACTCTCTCTGTAGACAAGCGCTAAAGTGGCGATTGGCTAAACCTTAAAGGCCATAGTCTCTTGAAACAACGACTGTGGCACCTGGCTACTATTGACTTACACGCGGAATACACACACATAGACACGAAGGACATCTGTCGCGTGACATGGCCCGTCATTACACTTCATACTAATAGGGTAGTTTCCTAAATTTTATTTTAATGTCCGTCTGGTACATTAATTTAAAACTTTAGATACGTATTTTTTCATTATTCACAAAATTAAATACTTTGGACGATATATTAATTTGAAATATCGTGTGACGTCACAGCGTGTCACATTTTGTAGCACGTTATGACGTAACGACCTATCACTCCTCAACTTAGCGCCATTTTATCTAATATTGCAATTTAATACGAGAAAATAAAAAAAATGTCTCATAATAGTTATTATAAAAACACTTTTTTAATTATTTTCAACAGTATCACATCTCGTCGTGCCCAGATCGTGGAATGTTGGATACCCAGGTGTATGTTACTGATGACGACCATCGTCCAGTAGTACCGGTCGTACTTCAGCCAGCTCCGGATAGCTCTGCTGATTGGGAAGACGTAAGTGTTAATATTTTTTAATTAAACTGTCAAACACCAATCGGTCACCGGTGACCGCAACCTATTGTTCTATAACATAACATCACGCCTTTTATCCCCGAAGGGGTAGGCAGAGGTGCACATTATACCACTGTACAATGTAACACCCACTTTTCACTATTTATATTATGAGTCCCATGTAATAGGGGGTGAGCCTATTGCCATATACCGGGCACAATTCCAGACTCCGTGCTATTACTGAGAATATTTAAAAACCCAGTAATACTTTGCCCGACCCGGGAATACCAAAAACCAAAGACCCCTTGCCCAGTCGCACTTACGACTACTCGGCCAACGGGGCAGTTGTTCTATAATTGTGTCTATAATGACGGTACTCGACGAGTTAATGACTTATGCGGAATACTGAAATGTTACTCAATTTTAAGTCGTACTTAAATAATATCGTGCCATCTCTGTCATTTCACAAAGAATTTGTGGAGACAGAACTATACTTAAGCGTGTTGCGGAGAACCTAACGGGTAACCGGGGCTCCGGCTCGACGTGCAGGAGAAGGAACGGGGTGGTTTTTAGTCGGTAAGAGTCTGACACTCCCTTCCGTCTCACCCAGGCGGTAGCAGTCATTCGATGATTTTCACCTTAAAAAAAATTATAATTAAGCGTGACTTAAAATTGAGTGACTTCGGTATTCGGGCATTAATCATATTTGACCAATCAATATTGTATAAGGGTCCTTTTTCTGTCATGTGTATCATTAGATTGCTTTTAATTATTATTGTTATTTTATTTTTGTTTGCTTTGATTTTTTTTTGTCATTCTTAATATAATTGTACATGGAATTTATGATCCCGTGATCCCTGAGTGTTGTGTACATCTGTCACTGGTATGCATATTAGCAGCTGTAACCAAATGCCATTTAGCGCTTGTCTACATGTAGAATAGAAAACCAAATTATATGAAATTGACGTAAATTTGACACTTGTCAGTGTCATCCCCATACATTTTGATTTCTACTCTCTCTGTAGACAAAAGCTAAAGTGGCGTTTGACTAAAGGGACTGACTTTTTAATTTTGTATTCAACTGTGGTATGGCTAATCTATAATAATAAATAATAATAATAAAGCTTTATTTATTCCATGCATGCGTACATATTAATCAACATTTGTGATATCAATTCGAGAACTACATCAATATAATTTACAAATATAAATTTGAATTCCAAACAATTATTATAATTTTTTTCTATTATATAGTTTATTATAATAGTACTAAAGTTTTTTTTTTTTTTTTCTTATTCATGCATAGACCCCGTTCGGGTAAAAGCCTCCCCCAAGAAATGCCATCCCTCTCTGTCCTTTGCTCTGTCTAGCCAACTTTCGCCTGCACATGCAACAATTTCGTCTGCCCACCTGGCCCTTGGTCGACCTCTTGATCTGGTGCCTTTTGGCCCAGACCATTTCACTACCCGTAAAGTCCATCTGTCGTCCTTGTAACGGGCCACGTGGCCAGCCCACTTCCATTTAGCCCTTATTGCAAATGTTAAGGCATCGCATACTTTAGTCCTTTTTCGAATGTCGACGCTCCTTACCTTATCCATCAGTTTTATGCCTATGCAGCTTCTTTCCATTCTTCTCTGGGTAGTTTGGATTTTCTTTCTGGTTTTGAGATCAAAGATCCAAGTTTGGCATCCATATGTTAGGCACGGCAGCAGTCCTGTATCCATGACTATTTTCTTGAACGGTAGCGATAGTTGCGATTTTAATATTTCCTTATGATGCCAGAACTTGTTCCAGGTAATCGCCACTCTTCGGTTTAGTTCTTCGGTGTTTCTTTCCTTACTAAAGGAGATTTGTTTTCCTAAGTATGTGTAGTGATTAACAAACTCGAGAGGAGTGTTATTTATTGAAATGGGCGTTGCACTTCGGTTAGACATAATTTTAGTTTTATCCAAATTCATTTCTAAACCAGTTTTTAGACTGGCATGGTTCAACTCGTTTACCATTTTGTTTAGTTGATGGGGGGATTCCGAAAAAAATTATGTCGTCGGCAAATCTGAGGTGACTTAAAAATTTCCCATTTATATTAATACCTTTATTACACTATGGCAACTCTCCTATTACGTGTTGCAAGACAGCTATGAATAATTTTGGTGAGATCGGGTCTCCTTGCCTGACACCTCTCTTTATGCTGATTATTTCGCCCACTCTATCCAATTTTACTCTACTTGTGCTGTTGGAGTAAATATTTTTTAGGATCTTGATGTATTTTTCGTTTATTTTTAGTGCTCTCAGCGCCTCCCAGATGCTCTCGTGTGAAATTGAGTCAAAAGCTTTTTTGTAGTCAATGAAAGCCAGATATAGAGGTCTGTTAAATTCTTGGTATTTTTCTATCACCTGATCGACCACTTGGATATGATCTGTTGTGCTGAAACCGCTTCTAAAACCAGCTTGTTCAATCGGTTGGTGGGCATCGATGACTGGAGCTATCCTTCCAAGTAGACAGGATGCAAAAAGCTTATAGAAACTAGACATTAAGCTTATAGGACGATAGTTGCCTATGTCAGCTGGGTCGCCTTTTTTAATAGTAGTATAATTTCTGATGTCATCCATTCATGTGGTACCGCTTCTTCATGAAGTATTTTATTCCATAGGATAGTTATTGGTACCAGTAGAAGAGCCTTTGCAACCTTTATGCATTCGTTGCTGATTCCGTCCGGTCCTGGGCTTTTTTCTGATTTAAGTCTCGTTAACTGTTTCAATATTTCGCATTCTGTAAATTGAGGTACTGTAGAGGTAACTGTGCAGCTATAGGGAACCATGTTTTGATTTTGTGTGTCTGGTTGTTTATAAAGATTAGCGTAGAAATTAGTGGCAGCGTCTATGATTTCCGTGCGAGATTTGCATTTACTGTTGCCAGACTTTAGGAAAGGCACCCATGTTTTGGCTTGGTTTAGCTCCTTGTAAGCTTTCTTGGCAGATCTAGAGTTACTGAGATGTCTCTGTATAGTTGTTGTTCTGTACGTAACGTAGCACCTTTTTATTTCTTTGTTGGTACATTTGTACAAAATTTTTAGGTGTTCTTTGTCAGCTTTACTTAAATTGGGCTTATTTTGTAGTTCGCTTCTTTCCTTCATGAGTTTTAGTGCTCTCGTCGATAGAATTTTGTTCTTATGTGTTCCTTTAATATTTTTTAGACTTGTCATGATTTGTTGTATGATTTGTTGGTAGTACTCCTCCATGTTACAATTGTTTTGATTCTCTATAAGTTGCGGTATATGGCCGTCGAGGTTTGTGAGATATGTTTCCTGTTCTGCTGGAGTTTTTAGCTTAGTGGATGTATTGGAGAAATTTCGTCTACTTTTCTTTGTGATGTTCAGGTGAATTGTTGCTCTTAGTAGCCTGTGGTCCGATCCAAAGGAGAAAGATTGTAGTACTTCATATTTAGAGATCATGCTGTGTTTTGTGGCCATGATGTAATCGATTTCATTTCTGGTGTTTTTATCTGGTGAGATCCAAGTCCAGCGATTTTTTGGTTTTAGGTTGAACATAGTATTTATAATTTTCAGGTTGTGCTCCTGCGCGAATTGAATTAGTCTCGAACCTCGAGCGCTTCTAGAGCCATAGCCGTACTCTCCAGTAACGGAGCGTTCGAACTTTTCTGGAGTTCCGATTTGAGCATTAAAATCGCCCATACAAAAAACATACTCAGTATGTGTGGAATGAGCTTTTTCTAAGTCTTCGTAAAAGTTGTCTATTTCTTCCTCTGATGAGTTTTCAGTGGGGGCGTGTGCTTGTATTATTGCAAAACACAGATTCTCTATTCCGATCTCCAGTACGCAAACTCTTTCCGAAATCCCAGTAAATTTTGTGATCTTATCCTTGTGTTTCTTCTTTACTAGAAAACCTACTCCATAAAGTCCTTTTGTTTGGCCAATGTAGTAGAAAATGTATTCGTCGTCTTCGATTATCTTTTCTCCTAGGCGACGAACTTCGCTCAATCCTATTATATCATGGTTAATATCTTTCAGTGCGGCTTTGAGCTCAATATATTTTTGGTCAGAAGATAGTGATCTTACGTTGAGAGTGCAAATGAAGATTGTATTTCTTGTTTTAGTAAGTGTTTTCGGGGGGTTTTGGTCGTGCTCTCCCGCGGTGACCGGCCGTGCTGGGAGATAAGGGGTTGGAAGAGAGTCCGATTCTAATTGCTATGTTGTGTTTTGATCTGGTGTCATCGATTGGCGTTGAATTGGCTCTGTTTGAGCGAGAATTAGTTTGGGCTTTTGTATTATATAATTCGTCATAATTCCTTTATTTTTCTTAGCTGTATTTTTGCTAGTGTGTTGAGCATTTGGGTTGTCAGGGTAAAGCGTCTCCGGAGATTCTGAATGATATCTTTTGCTTGATTGTTTCTGTTGGGGTTGTTTATTGTTCAGTATAATAATTTTATCATATTTTATAAAAGCTGTGTTTCCCGCATCTTTTTCTTTTTGTAATTGTACTTGTAGCTCTTTACGCTTAACTAACACTTCAATTGGGTAGTCTTCTTTTAAGTAATAGGACGTATTTTTAAGGTTATGTTTATTTTTTTGAATTTTTATTTTGAAGCCTAAAGTGTTAAATGTTATTGATATCGGTCGAACTTTTACCCCCTTTTTACCCAGCCTTCTAACAGCCTCTATGTTGTAAGTATCGCATGAAATTTTTATGTATGTATTTATGATATTTATGACGAGTTTTTCCAATTCCTCATACGATTTTTCTATCTCTTCTACGCCAAATAAGATCAGATTTTTGCGTCGACACTGTCTTTCTAGGTTGTTAATTTTATTTGATTGCTCTTCTGTTTTTTTCTCCAAAAACTCATTTTTCAGTTCTAGGTTCTTGAACTTCTCGCTGAGACTGTTTATTATTGTATCCTTAATGTCTTTTTTCATCTCTAGCATATCCTGTTTTTGCTGCTTTATATCTTGCTGCATGCTAATTAACATATTTTTTAATTCCTCCATATCCGTCCTTTGTATGTTATAGACCGAATTGTCCAAGCGTTGCGAGATAGCGGAGTGCGCTTTGAACTAGGGCCTGGCTAGGAAGTTCCGATGTTGGTGATGTTGGCAGTGCCGCCCTTATATAGTTTATCTGGTTCTTAATAAAGAAATTACCCTAAAATATTAGGGAAATTTAATTTCAAGTATTGGCAACACTAATTCGTGGCACTTGACGTTTATAAGAATGACAATGACAGTGATCGATTACGACAATTATGACAGTGACAACAACTGTCACTTGACGTTTGCAGCAATGACAATGTCAGTGACAGTGATCTGTGTACGGTACAAAAATGTTATAAATGAGGGTAGACGTTTTTTCACTGTGCAAATAGAATAGTTTTGATGGCAAGTTTGGTGGCGTATACACTGTTTTTGCCGTTAAATAACAATAACACAATTAGCACTACACTCAAACTACACTTTATTCGTACCGTAATCACTACAGTCGCACTTTTTGTAATTTTTTATATCAAAAATTGAGGAGCATGATGTGCTTCAGACAGTGTTTTGACAGATCCCCGATGATGATGATGATCCTAGATGGCTAATCTACTATATAAAAATAAGTCGGGTTTTCCTTCCTGACGCTATAACTCCAGAACGCACGAACCGATTTCCACGGTTTTGCATTCGTTGGAAAGGTCTCGGGCTTCGTGAGGTTTATAGCAAAGAATGTTACATAAAACGAAGCCATTTGGTGGTGAAACAGAGTTCGCCTGGTTTGCCAGTGTATAATATGTATACAAAAGGTTAAATTGAAAAAAATATATGTTTGTGCATATTGGTTCCAGGATCCCCAAACATCGTTCGTACCGGATCCATCACGTAAAGCTCATGTGATACAGAAAATTAGGGGCGCTACTCCGTCTGAGCGCAGGAGGGCTCGTTGCCAGAACACCACGCAATACAGGCCTTTAGAGTAAGCTATATACAGTTTGTATATTTTTTTATATATCTGATGACCAGTGATCGGAAAAAGGTGAGCTAATTTACCTAAACTTCAAGGAACAAAAACAAAAAGTGGAGACTTCCTTACTACAACATTTTTTTCGCGAAAGTTCCGGTTCCAGTTTCGGGATATTTATATATTACATTTAATACCAAAATTATGTTATTAAAAACAAAAGCTAGAAAGAAACCTCAACTTTTGTCACGATTTTAGGTTTTTGTTAATTTTGGTCTTGAATAATTTTATTTTATTCTCTTTCTTCCATCTTAAAATATTTATTGTTGAAAACAATAAAAGTTTTAATTTTGTTTGGTTTTGTGTTAAATTTAAAAAATAAAATCACGAAACGAAATCAATTGTTTTCTGTATTAATAACAATTATATTAAATGTAATATATAAATATCCCGAAACTGGAACCGGAACTTTCCCGAAAAAAATGTTGTAGTAAGGAAGTCTCCACTTTTTGTTTTTGTTCCTTGAAGTTTAGGTAAATTAGCTCACCTTTTTCCGATCACTGCTGATGACAGTAGGGTACAGAAAAGTATTCCTTAAACATATTGCCGGTAAAATTTAGCTGTATGAGATAGAATTTTAAGTTTCACGTCACAATTCTATCTCTTTTTTTAATCGACGTATATTTTGCCAAATTTTTCTCCACTAAGTACTTTTTCTCTTGTTTCTTTTTTTAATTTTTTTTATAGTAGATGGCGCTTCGATCGATTTTTATACCCTACTGTTATTTTTTTTTCAATTCAATGTTACCATTTTTTGGTAGGTTTATTTTTTAAAGTGATAGTTGTGCAGTTCTTACGTTTAGTAGGTGTCGCTCAAAAATCGACTTAATTGTAGAGGTTACAAAGTGTAATTTCGAAAATTTATGTTGTAAAAGTAACTTGATAAAGAATTAGAATTATGGCCTAGTCATTATATGTATGGCTTCTAAGAATATTTAAGTATAAGATCAATATTATGTGTAGATTCTATCTGCAGGTCAAATAACGATTTTTCTATTAGCCTTTATTTTTTTGAGAGAGGAAAATCATCCAATGACTTCTCCCGCCTTGGGTTAGGCGAGAGACAGTATCAGACTCTTACTGACTACCACCCTGTTCCTACTCCTGCACTTCGAGCCGGAGCCCCGGTAATCCGTTATTCCTTCCAAGGCTCCATATCGGGCATCAGCCCTACTGGGCCCCATCTGTGTTGGTCTTATGGCTCTTTGAGCTCGTACGCACGGGTCTGGTTATGGTCGAGCGGCGAGCTACCCTTGCTCACTGACCGCAGACCCGGTTACGGTGGCCGGAGATCGTTTTCGCGACGGATGGCGCGTGAGAAGGTTTGTTCCACTACTCGCCCCGCCTCCTCTTTAGCATGACTGCTTCGCAGGATGAATCCCAGTCCCTCATCATCGGCTGAACCAGAGCCGGAGGCGGGAAATAGCAGTCGCCGATCACATCCCTGAGCACACGGCGTTGCTCAACCCAGCCAGGGGACACAGCCCTATGTTCCACCGTGTCCTCCGGGTAGTCCTCGCAGTGTTTTCTATTAGCCTGGAGTTCACAATTCCCATAATAACAATACTTGAACATGTCAGTTAGGTTAGTTATATATAACTATTGTTTTATATATGTTCAGTATAAAGTTGATTTTCAACTCAATTTTTTTATACAGTGTGACCGAAGCGAAAAAAATTGACATATTGTAACGATACTCTAAAAAGTATTTCTTTGGAATAAAATTTTGTCTATATTATATCTAATTGGATAACGCGATTATTGGATGTCGAATTCAAGTGATAAATATGTAATTGCCAAAATACTCAGTGAAAATAAAATACTAGTTGTTATAATGGTGAATGAAATGCTGAGACTGATTTAACATTAGGTCTTTTATCCCTAGAGGGCTAAGCAGTTGTGATAATACAAAAAAAAACTACAGGATTCACAATAACTAATAAAGTAATGCATACATAGTATTGAGGGCCTAGTACCAATTCGTTTTACATTTAAAATAATCGAAACGTAGACGCGTTCGACGCTGATTGGCTGGCTTAAATGAACCAACCAATCAGTGCCAAGCACGAATAACTATCGCATTCGTAACGTAATAGTATCGGGCGTAGGTAATCTAGGATTGGTTGGTTCACTGTAGCCGACCAATCAGATACACTCGATATAATAACGTTATGGATGCGAGTTATTCGTGTTTGGCACTCAAAACGCCGAATGAGACCGCGTTACGATTATTTTAGCGTAAGACATACTCGAATGAAGCTCTCTGCTTGCTCCTTTTTCAGGAATAAAAAACGTAACGTTTAAGATGGCTATTTTGGAAAGTGTTTTTTTTAATTGTAAGAAAGTTTTAGTCGTAGTTCGTTTTTTTAAAAAAAAATTTAGGATGGGGATGGTGTCCTAAGGGGCCGTTCAAGTATTACGTAAGCAGATTTTTTACAATTATTAACCCCCACATCCCCCTTGTCAGCAAAAGTAAGCAAAGATTTTACCCCCTCCCCCTTTGCTTACGTAAACATTTTAAATTATATCTTTTTTATATTGTAATTTTAATATTCTCCAAATACCATAATGTCTAGTTCTTGTCGGTCTTTGCTTGTAATTTATAATTTCAATATGAGGGTTGCCATTCGTGTAAAAAAATAAATAACTACCGATGACGTAATCATTATCTAGACTCCCCTACCCCTATATTATCCGTAATAAGCAAAACAGAGACCCTCACCCCCCATAGTGCTTACGTAATACTTGAACGGCCCCTTAAATATATGAGTCTCGGTTCTAAATGGTGTCAAAATATATATTAATATGTCAATAAATTAATGGGAGGTAGTTTTGTACTGTAAGATCTTTTTTCAGTCTGATTAATTTTCTGTTCGTTTTACCTGACTGATACATTAACATAGTTTCCATATGTTAAAACAGGGTTGTCCAAACAATATAGGTAGGTATATTGTCGCGAGCGAATTAAATTTCTTACAAAAGCTGGAGGGCTAGAAAAATATTTTCAGTTGTATAATGACGTAACATTGTATTCTTTACTCACAGACTAAACTTGCATACAAATCATACACTGATTAAAATGTGTGTCGCGGGCCACATGAAAACAAGCTGCGGGCCTAATCCTGCTCGCGGGCCTTTGTTTGAACAGCCCTGTGTTAAAATATTTGTCAGATAAGCTTAACAATCTTTGTCAGGTTTCTACTTTGTCAAAATATGAAAATTTTCTATAAAAACTAACTCCTATATACCTAAATTGCATAAAATTTAGATTTTGGTCTAGGGGCCGTTCAAATATTGCGTAAGCAGATTTTTTACAATTGTTTACCCCCCCATCCCCCTTGTCTGCAAAAATAAGCAAAGATATTACCCCCTCCCCCGTTGCTTACGTAAACATTTTGAATTATACCTTGAATGATACCATTTAATGTCTAGTTCTTGTCGGTCTTTGCTTGTAATTTATAATCTCAATATGAGGGTTGCCATTCGTATAAAAAAGTAAATAACTATCGATGACATAATCATCATCTAGACTCCCCTACCACCCATATCATCCAAAATAAACAAAACAAGAGAACCCCCATGGTGCTTACGTAATACTTGAACGGCCGCCTACCAGCTCTTACATCGGAGTCGTATAAAAGCGAAAAACTTAGTTTTTTTGTTTTTTAAAAAAAGGGGTTTGCCCCCTTCACCCCTTTTTCATTAGGGGTAGAGGGTGAATATGTGATCATATACCATCCCCCTTAACATTGTGTATAAATGTTAATGTTATGTAAATGTTTTTTGCATACCCTGCCCGATTGAAAAAAAAAATAAGTGATATTTTCGAAATAAAATGTGATTATGATGAAATGTAAAAATTTATGAGAAGGTGCTAAAGAGATTTTTTGTAAAATCAATTAGTAAGGAATGGTATTAGTATTGGTTGGTTTTAACCACTGACTCTATTGGGCTTGTGAAACTGAGCTCTGATTTTTATAACATCTATACGAGACCGCGTTGGGCGTCGATTGGATGGATGATTGGAGACGGCCAAGAGGGCCAAACGCGATGTCGTTAAAACGTGACACAAACTCGTATTACGATCTCATAGGGTGAATAAACGTACAGAGCGCCCTGACAAGCAACTCATAGACGCCCCTAATTTTCTTGGGGTCGTCGCTACTAAGCATTTGGGCACGCGTTTCTTGGCGCCTTACTGTACTCGCCCGCCACTTCTCGAGCAGCGAGTGTTTAGTATATCCCTCTCGCTACTGTCACAAAATGGCAGTGAGAGAGAATTACTAAATATTCGCTACTCGACTAAAATAAAATAGTAGCGTAGTGCGAACAAGGCATTAAGCATAATACGGGTCTGTGTCTATGACTAAGTTATACTTAAAAATATGGCTAAGAATGTAATAGTGGATCTAACTTTGACTGCACGGTTGGTGCGGTGGCTGGGCAACCGGCTGCCGTGCAACGTGTCACGGGTTCGATTCCCGCACGGAACAACACTTTGTGTGATCCACAGATTGTTGTTCGGGTCTGGGTGTCATTGTGTATGTGAATTTGTATGTTTGTAAACGCACCTACGATACAGGAGAAAATCGTAATGTGGGGCAACGGTTTTAAAAAATAAAATACTGAGTAAGAATAAGCGAGGACAGATAAATAATGTTTAAAATATGTGTTATTTAGGAAAAGCCAGTTTTCCGAATGCGTTTTTGAAAATTTTTAAGCAATGTACCCCTTCTGGGTATGTCTGATACAACGTCTTTTTAAAAAGTAAAAGGTGGTATAATATTTTGGGCGGTCTACTATAATTAGTAGTGCGGGGTGGTCTTGTCAATATATTATAATTAACTTAATTCCAATTGTAACTTGAAAATTGAGCGAAATTAATAATTATAGAAATCAATCAATGTTAAACTGTTTTGTAGTTAGTATTTTTGGATTAATTTTAATTTTAAGATGTCGTTTTAAAATGTTCATATTTCGGATTAATTATATAATCTGTGAGCTTATCTTAAAACCGAACCGAATGTTCTATTAAAAAGATAGAACCTTCACAGATCGGGCAGTGGTAGCATTTTCTAAAAGTACGTCGTAGTAAGAAATATTGTAATCTATTTGTTGACATTATGAATGTATGTGTCTATAAAATTATAAAATAAATGTCTATAGTTAAATAAATAAATGTCTTTAAATTAGAAAAAACATGTGTTTTATTTGTCACTAGCGACTCGCCCCGGCTTCGCATGGGTGCAATATGCATGTATTATACATATATATACCTGCCTTAACCCGTTGCAAATCATCTAAATTAGTTCATACAAAAGTAGTCTCTAAACATTGGAAATAAGGTCTGTGTATTTAGTGGAGAGCGGTCACCGGTGACTGCTTGGGAATATATGGGTTAAGAATAAAATGACTGCTTGGGAATATATGGGTTAAGAATAAAATGACTGCTTGGGAATATATGGGTTAAGAATAAAATGACTGCTTGGGAATATATGGGTTAAAAATAGAATAAAACTACGCAACGGATTGTGATGTGGTTTATTTTTAATAGATAGTAATCTATTTAAAATAATAGATAGTAATCTATTAAAAATAAACCACATCAAAATCTGTTGCATAGTTTTAAAGATGTACATAAATAGGGACAGACAGATGGCCGATAGCAACTTTGTTTTATACTATGTAGTGATTACCTTTTTGGATTCCCTGCAACACCAGAGATTTACAAGAGCATTGCCCCAGAAGGGGCTTAAGGATTTGAGGATTAGATCTCTGGTAGTAATGAAACCGCAAGACAATTTATATAAATAAAATTTATTTATCCTGTATATAATCTTCGTCCATCTTTTCAAACTTCTCCTTCATGTCATCGGGTACTTCCACTGCTGACAAGTCCTCAGCACCGACCTCATCCTCTTTTTGTATCAAAATGTCGACTACGTTCTCGCACGCAAGTCTTACTTTGGGGTCTGTCTCCCATTTATGATATTCCCGTAGAACATAATACACTCCGTTGTCCCGTAAGAACTCCCGTCCTTTCCTTCGCATACAAAGCTTGTTTAGCGTTTCCAGAATCATTTTACGGATATCAATGTCATTATCCCGTAGTTTTTCTTTCGGTAAGTATTGTAACGATATCGGTAATGAGTCCATTTCTTCGTCAATGTATTCTTCTCCCCCCATTATTGGGTTTAACAAATATGTAAGTAGCTCCAAATCGTTGCTAAGTAAAAACTCATGAAATTCAGGATCAAAGGATAAATTTCGTATGGTACCCATCGCTCCGCCTCTTCTTATGTTTGAGAGCTCATAGCTACAGAACGGTAGGAGTTTTATTAATGGAATGTGTGGATTTTCTTCCGTTAGCCATTTCCTTATACTATGACAGCAGGAGAGATTGGAAATCATCGGTCCAATGAAGTTAAGATTAGAACCTTTTTTGTTAAAGTTTATGTTCACATAAGCGTTTAAAATATCGTTTAAATGAGGTAGAAATGTGTCTAGAACACTGTCTAGTTCCGTTTCGACTCTAGTTATGTTTGAAAGTATCATTGCAGCCGCATCTGCGTCCTTTTTGTCCGGATTCAGAACATAACCTATACACAATTTTACGATGTTTTTATTTTCATCCGATTTGTATTTAAGGAGTTCTATAACGCCTCTGGGATTGGCTGTGATGTTTACCAGTATTAGTAGAGCGTTTTTAGCCACTTCTTCTATTTTATCGTCCGTTAAATTGATAATACTTTGTATTACTTTGTCGTGAGATAACAAAGTTGTTATTCCATCTTCTGTGCCGGAAAGTCCCACTAAATGGTCCAAAGCAATGTGTCTTAAGTCGATACGAGCTTCAGGCGTCAAGAATTGTAATAGTTCATCCAGAGGATCCGCTGCCATGGTTATATTATGTATTGTAGTAAAATACGATTTCTAATATTCTAACCTCTCAACATCAACAATGCGTTTATTTTCATTTGACATTGTCATTCGATTTTGACATTTCGTTGAAAACATTCACGTTTTGTTACTAAAATTTCTAGTATCGTTCGTAAATTCATAATAATACTTATATTTAAGTTGGATTGATCATAGAATTTTATTTATCTAATTTCGTTGACAATAAAATTGTAGTCTAAATTAATTAAATGATGAACCATTTTCAATTTCTAAGTTAATCGCACTATCTAGTGTCGAATAGAAAAAACACAATTCAAAACTTCTATACTGACACAATAGATGGCGCTACACGTCTACCAAGAAACTTCAATGACCTACTTTCCTGAATTACAAAAAAATCATTTCTTTAGCCAAGAACACGCAATTTCCTTATTGAAAGACGTATTACATTTGATTTATTGCATAACTGATCTATTTGTTACAGTTTTTATCGTATAAATTCCATAAATTTTGCATATCCGAGAGTATGGCTACTTGATTATAATTCGTAGGTAGTCATCGTGATTAATCTACGTAGATTACCAAAATAGTTACTCATCCTTATCCTTGATAAAATATATAGCATTTTTATCGCCGAAACAAAGGCTTGTAACCAAGCTATGCTATTTACTAGGTAGCGAGGTTGGTAACGGCTCGTGACAGTGTACTGTTTTTTTTTTAATAATCCGATAAACGAGCACTCGGTTCACCTGATGGTAAACTATCGGAGTCGCCCATGGACAACAAACCCAGAACCCAGACATGTTATAACTGCGCAACCGGCCCTTTGGGGATTAGGGATTTGAGGATTATTAGGATTCGGGGATTAGAGAGATTGAGGACTGGGTTTTTAAAGACCAGGCGAAGTGATCGTGCCTGGCGGGCTACTGCCTATCAGTTGTTCGATGGAATCCATGTTTATTAGTCGATTGCCCGCCCCCTCCCTACTCCAGAAATCTCCCCAAGCGCCGAATCCTCAACAATTCTAAAATTACTAATACCTAAGAGGCCGGTAATACTCTTGTAACGCCTCTGGTGTTTCAGATGTCCATGGGCGACTTTGATTGCTTACCATCAGGCGATCCGTCTGCTCGTTAACCGGCTTATCCCATAAAAACTACCGATAGCATTACAGAAAAAGGCATTTCTGCCTAAGCGAGTACAAGGCATGACATTAAAAGCTTACAAGGAAACCATTTGCGTGTTAAACCCTTCTTAATTCACGATAAACTCAGTTTTTTCCATGTTAACTGTAATCTTGATCGATAATACTGAGCTGGTCAGTTCAGCTGATTGTATCGTGGTTAAATTTTAACTTTCTTCGTTATTAATTATAGTAGCCAAATAATAAGCACATGAGAACCGTGTTTGTGTCACGAAATAGGCAGTGTGTTTTGTAAAATTATAACCTAGTCGCTTTTGACATTGATTTTTCGTCAGTATTATGGTTTTTTTTAAGGAGGGATAATCATCGAATGGTTTCTCCGGCCTAGGTGAGGCGGGAGGCAGATTCAGACTCTTACTGACTAAAAACTCCTTAGCCTTATCCCTTCAGGGACGTGATCGGCGATGGCGACCTTTGACGTCCGGCCCTAGTGCGGGTCATGATGCGGAGCGAGGGGACTGGGATGCCGTCTCCTCCTTTTGCGAAGCAGTCTTGCTTTGTAGGAGGAGGCAGGACGCGTGAGGCAGTGAAGCGTTGCCTCCTCGCAACACAGCCATCACGAAGGACACTCCGGGCGTCTCCTGCCGCCTCGCCCAGGCGCGAGAAGTCATTCGATGATTTTCTTCCCCTTAAAAAAGCCTTAGCCCTACATTTTGTTGTTGCGCCGGCGCCGGCACGGTGTCCCTGTGGAATACTTAATTATAAGGCAGTTAAGTTACTGCGGAAATTTTTCTAAAAACAAAAATGAAAGAATACTTTTTTTATTGGATAAGCAATCGGCGTCGCCATTGGACACCTGGAACACCAGAGGCGTTACAAGTGCGTTACCGGTGTTTCGGGAATTAGGAATTAAGAATTCTTAGGATTCAGAGATTCCCTAATGTAATCCCTAATGGGAAGACGGGGAGTGAGGGGGTGGGGAGTTTACCTCACGCAACACAATGCAAGTATTTTTTCACGTCGGTTTTCTGCTCGGCCGTGGTATCACTCCGGTCGAGCCGAAGCATGGCTCTCACACACTTAAATTGCCGAAGCAACCTAACCTGCATAGTAGGTACCTACCTAATATCCGTATTATGTCTTAGGTACTTCATAATCAGTAATCCTCAGTGAGGTCGTTATCATGCCAGTCGAATGGTCGACCACCTGATGATAATTATTTACACCTGAGGAATAATTAGTTACTTAAAAAGCACGTTATCATTTTTATGAATAACGTTACCGATCATCAATACATCGCATCAACAGCCTACAAGTCCCCACTGCTGACCAAAGCCTTCGTCTTTAAAGTATTTTCACGCATCGGGTTTCATGGTTTCATTATCGAAATTATAACACGCTTCCCCTTTTTCTCTCTTATTAAATGTAGCCTATGATCATCGATAATGTAGAATTCCAACGGTAAAAGAATTTTTCAAATCGACCCGGTAGTTTCGGAGGAGATTCCAATCAAATAAACAAACAAAGAAAAAATCGAATCTTTCCTCTTTATAGGTAGGTAATGTAGTCAGTAGCTAAATTCCAATAGTAGGTAATTTAATATATAATTTAACACTTTAATTCTAATGTAGACAATCTAGTTTCCTTATGGCATCGAGCATTTCTTTATTGAAACAAAGAGTTTCCTTTTCTTGTATAGAAGCACTAATTCTATGGATTGTCAGTATGCTTATGAGAGCACCATGTTGGACTTTAAGATTTTTATTTTTTTTTAAATTTTAGTAAGTTATTAGTATAATGCGTCAAGCGTATCTTTGCATTGTTCTTACATATGCGTACAGTATTGAAATACGTATCAGAGACATTGTAGAACATACTTTTTTAAAAAGAGTAACGAATGGAGTTTCTTGCTCGTTCTTCTCCATTCGAATCTACTTTTTGGAATGAGCACCTAGCTTCACCTAGTTTCACTGACGGACTGACTGACAGACTATTATTTATTTTGTATTTGTTGACGTTCCAAAAGTACCAAACTATGGTTTAATTGAAATAAATGCTTTGAATTTGACTTTTGACTTTGAGGTACTATTAGGTAGTGTTGATACCTTCTGAAAATGGTCATTTGTAGTTAAGATATTTTTCAGTAGTTAATATTTGGAGTCACATAATTATAGGCATAGCATTTCTTCCATGTGACTAATTTATTGTTTAATATATAGAAATAAAAACGATATCTAAATTTTTTATCACAATACCAAATTGATGAATGGATGGAGTTGCGATTAGGCACTTTAAAACACTTTATTCTTGTTTTGAATTGAACGTGTATGATTCAACTATGCAACAGTTTTTTTTAAGCGTGGAAAATCATCAAATGAGTCTCAGACTCTTACTGACTAAAAACCACCCCGTTCTTACTAGAGACCTGTAAGGGATGAATTGTAAAGGGCCCACTGCGCTATACTGGTGACTCTACAAGACAAATTAAACTCTTGACCTTCTGCTGCTTGTTCGTTAGACACAGATTGCAGGACAATAATAATAAAAACGATCCAGTATCCTCAAAGAGTCATCAGACCACCACGGATGGGGCCCAATAGGTCTGATGCCTGTACGTAGCCGCGGAGAACCTAACGGGTTACCGGGGCTCCAGCTCGACGTGCAGGAGTAGGAACGGGGTGGTTTTTACTCAGTAAGAGTCTGACTTAAAGGCGGGAGAAGAGATTCGACGATTTCCCCCCCTTAAAAAACCCTTCTGTTTCTGTAAACACTCATACCTCAGCACACACACTACGTCGCCCCGATTTGAAAACGCGTTGGATATTAATAATAATGACCCTTCATGAATAACCTCTTATCGCTAATCTCCCCTCTTTTGTCTATGAATCACAAATAGAGTGTAAGCTATAAATAGTTCGCGAAATCCCTAACATTAGGTGTATTTTTAAAAAGGGTAACACGCACTTTTGACGTCATACATTGCGACGTGACGTCAAGTTATTTAGTCGATTCGTAGATTTTTAATATGCATATTAGTTGATCCGGCAAACTTCATGCCGCCCTAAAAAGTTTTTTTCACATTTTAACACGTTTGAGGACGCTACCAGTTGAGTCGGGTTTCCAGATTGACACAGTAAATGTCTATACAAAATTATACGACGTATCAGTACGTAGTGTCCTATGAAAAAATATTGTTTTAAACATATCATGACACAACCGTTTTATCACGTCACCGTGTATATGCATCTTGGTAATGATCCGCCTCGTTGGAGGTGTCGGAATCATCAAACATGCTTATCTTATGTCTTATTTGCGCTTATTTCCAACATCAATTTCACACTGTAAAATCATTAATTTGCATTAAACACATAATACACAGTGGCACAGCCGCGTTGAATGTAGGAGCGCGGGACGTATAAATACGTTGTGCATAAGTGAATACCGTAACCGCACACTATGAACGGCACTTATTTGAAATAGTTCTAAACTTACCCTACGTGACAGTACAGTGTTGGGTATTTTATGTGTTGTGACACAAGATACATTCAAAAGGATTTTTACTTGAACTTTCATCGGAAATAAACGTTCTGCCGTATAATTTAAATGTTATTTGAACGTCATCGTACGTTATGCGATATTAAAATCTCGAACGATAATGTATAATCTCGTTCTGTCCTCGAACGTGTTAAACCCTGGACTTCCACAAATATTTCAGGACTAAAATTAGTAATTACTATTTATACGAAATTAGTACTTATTAATTTATATAGAAGATAATAATATGCATATTATTATGATGTACGTACAAATGTAAAACCTCTCTATTGATTTCGATCATGGTGGCGAATCTAACTACACTTTTTTTGAGGGGGAAAATCATCCAATGACTACTCCCGCCCGGGTCAGGGCGAGAGAGAGTGTCAGACTCTTACTGACTAAAAACCACCCCGTTCCTACTCCTGCACTCCGAGCCGGAGCCCCAGTAACCCTTTAAGTCTTCCGCGGCTCCGTATCGGCATCAGCCCTGTTAGGCCCCATCCGTAGTGGCCTTTGGGTCTTTGAGGCGCGGACGGAACGCGACGCGCCTTACGATCGGGTCTGGTTCTGGTCGGGCGGCGAGTTATCCGTGCTCGCCGTTCTCAGGCCCGTGCTTACGGTGGCCGGAGATCGTCTCGCGATCCCCAACGCCCGGAGTGTATCTCGCGATGGCTGGGGCGTGAGAAGGTTCGTTTCCACACGCGTCCCGCCTCCTCCTTAGCTAGCATGAATGCTTTGCAGAAGGAGGAGACTGCATCCCAGTCCCCCTCGTTCCGTATCATAGTCTGAATCAGAGTCGGACGCGAGATCGCCGTCGATGATCACATCTCTGAGGACACAGCGGTGCTTAGCCCACGCAGGGCATTCCCCTACTGTGTGTTCCACCGTGTCCTCCGGGCGGTCCTCGCAGTGATGACATCCGGGGAATCTAACTACACTAGCCCACTACGCAGGAGACATTATAGCACAAGTGTGTGTGCAAACACAGGTGTACTCTCTGTTCCCTCACTCTCTGAACCCGATTCGACGGCAGACCGACACGACCGGAGAGATGTCCCCGCAGGACTAACGGCTTTACGTGCGTCCGAGGCACAGGAGCTAACACTACAAACCAACGCTCCACCTGTTATTGGTTTGCTCGCTTCCGCTGGAAATCTCGACTTGAAAAATAAATCTCGCGGTCATCAAAAGACTTTGGTCGACAATGACGAATTAAAGGCGATACACAATCTACGACTGAATTAGCAGTAGCTTAGTGTCAGTGAGCAAGTTAGTGTCAAAACAATATTGGTCTATTTGCGTCAAATTGGCAAGGTTAAAAAGCTTCACATGTGGGCTCCACGACCTCAATGATATTGTACAGCAGACGGTCTCCAAGGTCTCCAAGTTGTCGCGGAGAGCCTAACGGGTAACCGGGGCTCCGGCTCGACGTGCAGGAGAAGGAACGGGGTGGTTTTTACTCAGTAAGAGTCTGACACTCCCTTCCGCCTCACCCAGGCGGGAGCAGTCATTCGATGATTTTCCCCCCTTAAAAAAAAAAAAGGTCTCCAAGTTGTAAAAACTGGGGTTGGAAGCTCTCCGTCAACCGCCCTACTCACCACAACTTGCGCTTACAGATTACGACTTTTTCCAGAATTTGGATAATAGCTCAGTCATTTAGTATACCTGATATGTTTTCCGGGAGTTTTGAAAATTGGTGATTTTTAGATCTTCTTCACTTTTCTTTCCGATTTCCATTTTGCACCCTCGAACGTGCGCCGGTCGTAATTTATGTCTCGACAGCTTTGTTGTAATACAAGTAGTTTTGACAGTAAAGTACATACATTTTCATGAGCATTTTAGGAAATAAATTATTATTAATTTCCACTCTTGTGAAAGTAGAGTAAACGGCTGATTTTTTTATGGTGTAGTTTTTTGTAAAACTAATGCTCATGTGATGTGATACACGCTTTAGAAACTTGTCAAAATCTCCTGGCTTGAGCTCTTTCTGATGATCCGCACGTAGGAGATTTCGTCTTGGGCATCTATCTATTTTTTTATGGCATAAGCCGGTAAACGAGCATACGGATCACCCGATGGTAAGCAATCGGCGTCGCCCATGGACACCTAGAACACCAGAGGCGTTACAAGTGCGTTACCGGCCTTTTGGGGATTAGAAGTTTGAGGATCTATATGTCATAGTCGTTATTTTTAAACAAACATTCATGCAGCTAATATCTTTAAGAAGATATCTTCAATAACTGCCTCAACATCTCTGCGCTGCGTTGGCAAAGATACATTGATTGCAGTGAATACTTCAATAAACAAATAAAAAATGTTTGAAAAAATTCGTTTCAATTTTTTTATACAACACGGTAATTTCATAGACCTATTATAATATGAATCATAATTTTTTTTTATTGGGCAAGCCCGCCACAACCTCCCAAAACCGCTGCAACTCCTGTAAGCCAGGATCTACAGTAGATACAACCATGAAAACACTGGAACACTGAAGTCCAGCGCGTCCCAGGGACATGAGTAACTGTCTTGGTTCCCGCAACGAAGTGAATCAGAAGATATTATAAGAGGAGAAGAAGAAAAAATGATAGTTTCCACGTCCCTCGGTGAATTACTGCAGGAAACAGAATGAATTAAGCCTAAAGGCACAAAGAAGAGACTGTACAACTGGGTGAAGCCCAGTCGCCAAGCACCACGGAAATTTGACTAAAAACTATATATGACTCACAATGTTAAAGGATTTCATTTTCAGTTTCTAATTCATAAAATAATACAACAATGTAATACGTAGAGATATGGTATCGCGCAGCTGTGTACCTGATACAGATTATCGATAATTTTACTTATCACTCGCACCTGCATAATTGCCCAAATTCTATTATAGACTTATTAATTTATTAGACTGTTTAATATGTTTTGTAAGGTGCAGCTTATTATACGGACCTTTTTTTATGGGATAAGCCCGCCACAACCTCCCAAAACCGGAATAGGTTATACGGACCTTGTGGAATCTAGAACAAATTTCCGTGCATTTAGGCGCTTTTGCCATAAGTACCTATTATTGGAAGCAAGTATAACAGCTCACTCATAGGACCAACCTTGATTTTAGTCAAATTTCCGTAGTGCTTGGCGACTGGGCTTCACCCAGTTGTACAGTATCTTTTCTTTGTGCCTTCAGGCTTAATTTACTCTGTCTCCTGCAGTAATTTACCGAGGGAAGTGGAAACTATAGTTTTTTTCTTCTCCTCTTATAATATCTTCTGATTCACTTCGTTGCGGGAACCAAGACAGTTGTTCATGTCCCTGGGACGCGCCGGACTTCAGTGTTCCGGTGTTTTCATGGTTGTATCTACTGTAGATTCTGGCTTACAGGAGTTGCAGCGGTTTTGGGAGGTTGTGGCGGGCTTGTCCCTTAAAAAAAGACTGTTTAATTGGGATGATGACAGGGTATGAAAATTAAAAATCTAATTAGTCCATCAGTTAAATAATTGGGTACTTGCCAACTAGTCAAATTCAATACTTTTTCGAACTGTCATAAACGACAGTTTTCTATTTATTGCTGGAAAAATACTGAAATTAAGTTGGTCATAAAATCAATTAATGAAAGTGTGATTATGTTTTAATATTTTATTGAGTTGAACAGTCGAAATAATTTATTTTTGATTAAGGAATCATCATCAATCATGTTCGTGAACGGGCGCTGTCAGCTGGGCCTGGTCAGCTCCAGACTGTATTAAATTTGTTGTCCTTAACGTTATTTTCTTTTTCTTTCTCCTTGAGTGATTATTGGTGTTACATTGTTCTCACATAATTGAACCAACGAAACAATGTAATCAAGAATTGTATTGTGAACCTGATTAATTTGTTGCAATAATAAATTATTTCGACTGTTCATTACTATAAAATATTTAAAAATAATCACACTTCCATTAATTGATTTTATAACCAACTTAACTTTAGTATTTTTCCAGCAATTTTTTAATAAATAAGTATGTTGTTTCACTCTAAAAAAACATGACGTCACAATACTATAGAATACTATCGTTTTTGACAGTTCGAAAAAAGTATTGAATTTAGTATTTAGTACCGTATTTATTAAGATTGTCGTGTACGATTTTAATTTGTCGTGTGTATCTGTAGCTATGGTACAAAAAAAGCAATAAAAAAGCAAGATATTCCTATCTATCTATTTGCATATCTATACATTTAGTCCAGATTATCACGTCCATGTTAATACGAACAGAAATAAAGATAAAATACTCGATTCCTTTCAGTTTTCGATAAAACGCGACATAGGGCGATTGCCCTCGTATAATTAGTTATTTATTTAATTTTATTTTTATATATAAAAAAAATGTGGTGCAAATCGTATTTGTTATTGATAGGTGAGTTTTTGTGTATATGAACATAGAAATTATTTTTCACGTGGTTTTGTTTGTGTTCGCATATGCCTTAGTCCGCGACTTTGCCCGTTGATTAGTCATAATAATACTAACGTTCCTCTTGAATCACTACGCCAAGATACGGAGCCAGCGTCTATAAAAAGTTTACCTTTTTTATGGCATATAAAAATATATGGTAAACGAGCAGACGGATCACCTGATGGTAAGCAATCGGCGTCGCCCATGGACACCTGGAACACCAGAGGCGTTACAAGTGCGTTACCGGCCTTTTGAAAATTAGGAGTTTGAGGATCGTTGGGGATTCAGGAATTGGGGAGATTGGGGAAGGGGAGGGTAATTGGGTTTCCAGTAACCTCACTCACACGACGAAACACAACGCAAGTGTTGCTTCACGTCAGTTTTCTGTGAGGCCGTGGTATCACTCCGGTCTAGCCGGCCCATTCGTGCCAAAGCATGGCTCTCCCACACTTACCTACAACAAATAGCCCTCATTTTACATAACATAACATTATCCCTTTTAACCCCGAAGGGGGTTTTTTTAAGGGGAGAAAATCATCGAATGACTGCTCCCGCCTGGGTGAGGCGGAAGGGAGTGTCAGACTCTTACTGACTAAAAACCACCCCGTTCCTTCTCCTGCACGTCGAGCCGGAGCCCCGGTTACCCGTTAGGTTCTCAGGGGTAGGCAGAGGTGCACATTACGGCACTTAATGTCACTGTACAATGTAACACCCATTTTTCACTATTTATGTTATGAGTCCCATGTAATAGGAGATGAGCCTATTGCCATATACCGGTCGCAATTCCAGACTCCGTGCTACTACTGAGATTTTTAAAAAAACCAATAATACTTTGCCCGACCCGGGAATCGAACCCGAGACCCCTTGCCCGGCAGTTGCACTTGCGATCACTCGGCCAACAAAGTCGTTTACCAAATAATGTAATAAGTTCTAGTCTACCAATCAAGCCCTTTTCTTTTCCTTTCAAGTAAGTACACTATACTTAACGGGATCATGTAGGTTTTAACTCAGAACGGGACATTCGTTTATATAGAGGTACATTCAGTCAGTCGTCTAGTAGCTAGATCTTATTAAACTGTCAAACACCAAGCGGTCACCGGTGACCGCGACCTATTGTTCTTTAATTGTGTCTATAAAACCGGTACTCGACGAGTTAAAACGCTCACACATTGGAACCCAAATGGTCCCGTACAGTTCGGTTTCAGAGGAATTTCCTCCCTCCACAAACGGACCCTCCGATTGTGGAATGAACCTTGCCGTGGTTTTCTCAATGGGCTACAACATGGGGTTCTTCAAGAGGGAAGTGAATAGGTTTCTTAACCCTTTGAGTACCGTAATTATAGACACAATTAAAGAACAATAGGTGTGCGGACACCGGAGTCCTCGCGGTGTTTGACAGTTTAAACTGTCAAACACCAAGCGGTCACCGGTGACCGCGACCTATTGTTCTTTAATTGTGTCTATAAAACCGGTACTCGACGAGTTAAGGGTCGGCAAGACGCTTGTAATGCCCCAAGTGTTGCACGTAACGGGTAACCAGGGCTCCGGCTCGGCGTGCAGGAGAAGGAACGGGGTGGTTTTTAGTCAGTAAGAGTCTGACACTCCCTTCCGCCTCACCCAGGCGGGAGCAGTCGATGATATTCCCCCCTTAAAAAAAAAAGTGTTGCACGTAGGTACATACATAGGCCACGGTAGCCGCTGACCATCAGGTGGGCCGTGTGCCTTTTAGGCACCGACGTGGTATAAAAATAATCTATCTATACTTACTTATAATAAATCTGTAGAGAGGTCAATTCTGTACATAAAATATATTTAAAAAATAACTATCAAGGGGTGGTTAGGGATCGCTACTGATGCCAAAAATGCAATCAGTAAATTTTTTGTCTGTCTGTCTGTATGTTCGTTATGGAAACAAAAACTACTCGACGGATTTTAACGAAATTTGGCACAATTATTCTTCATACTCTTGGGCAGGTTATAGTATACTTTTCATTACGCTACGATCAATAGGACCAGAGCAGTAAAGGGAAATATTGGGAAAACGGGAGAAGTTACTCCATTTTTTAAGCTTCCGTCGCGTGTGCAGGCTTATAGGTGAAAGCTATATAGAAATCATGTAGGACGGAAATATTCTCCTTAAAATTATATAAAAAATATTCCTCGACAGCATATGTCTATCTTTTATGGTTGACTCACAATAACACGTGAATCTCCCGATAACTTAGCAATTCGGTGATTTCTGATTGTATTTGTCTACTCTAACGTTCACAATACTCATTCATAGACTTTACGCTGTGACTGAAAGGCCAATGGTTGAAATTAGCTTGACTCGATATTATAAATGATAATAACTCGATAATAATACTCAGTCATATTAAAACGACTGAAGGGAACCTGAATGAAATTCGGAACAGAGGTAGATTATGGTCTGAAGTGATACATAGGCATTTTACCCCTGGGATCGCGGGCGAAGCCGCTGGCAGAAGCTAGTAATAATATAAAACCTTAAAACACAAGGTTTGTGCCGACAGCAAAATACTTAATGTGCACAAAACTAGAGGTATTTACTTAAAGTTTTTTCGACCATACTTAGTCAAAATGAGCGAGTTATGTATGGCGCTGTATCGCACTCGCACATTATGCTGACCGAACCATCATCGTCGCATAGGTCATATTCGTGGTTTCCGAAACCGAGACAATATTTCGTCCCAGAGTTCATTTTGGGGTCAACGGGACTCGTAATCACAAAAAGGGACGGTCTCGTTCAAAACGAGACGTAACATAACATTCACGCCTTTTATCCTCGAAGGGCTACCCCTTCGAGGATAAACAGAGGTGCACATTATGCCACTGTACAATGTAACACCCAGTTTTCACTATTTATGTTATGAGTCCCATGTGATAGAGAGTGAGCCTATTGCCATATACCGGGCACAGTTCCAGGCTCCGTGCTACTACTGAGAATTTTTCATAAAACTTTTTTACTTTGCCCGACCCGGGAATCGAATCTGTGCCTTTAGCCAAACGCCACTTTAGCGCTTGTCTACAGAGAGAGTAGAAATCAAAATGTATGGGGATGACACTGACAAGTGTCAACATTTACATCAATGCCATATAATTTGGTTTTCTATTCTACATGTAGACAAGCGCTAAATGGCATTTGGCTACAGCTGCTGGTCACGTTATCTATACTATACTAGCGGACCCGACAGACGTTGTCCTGCATATCCACTTGAATGTATAAACAAAAATTCATTCAAATTAGTTCAGCTGTTTAGGATAAATAACCTAAACATCGACTGCAGCGCCATCTGCCGGGCTGATTTGTGAATCTAAACCATTCCCAGATCCCCTTGAACACACACAAAAAATTTCATCAAAATCGGTCCAGTCGTTTGTGAGAAATTCAGTGACATACACACTCACAGAAGAATTATATATATAAAAAGATATCTAACTATATATTTATTTTTCTCTTTTACAGGTATAATTCTGCATACAAGTGCCGCCCAATCGATATGGTTTTGCCAAGACGACTCCGAATGTTCTAGTATCCAGTCTGGCATGGTCTGCCGGTCTGGCAGCTGCGTTTGTTCAGCAGGATATGACATTGTACAAGGCAGCTCATGCGCACCTGGTAAGCAAAACTTTTTTTAATGGAACACCAATCGAGGTATTCACACCCAGTATAAACTGATCGTTGATAACGCGGAAACTAAAGGACAAGAGAGACCATAATAATCTGGTTTTCGTTAGCTTGATGCGTAGTCTAAAACCAAAGTAAAGTGACCGTTGTATGTAGTGTAAGATTATATAAAGAGGGACCAAGATAAATTGGTTTCGTTTAGCTTGATGTGTCGATTTTGTACGAAATTTGTGTGTCTTGGTAAATAATACGAAATATCGAGTATTACCTTTAGACTTTTGGGCCCTAACTAAGTGGGTAGAAGTCGTTTCGGCGCTGCCTCCTCACCAAACTCAGGAACCACCTAAACAACTAAATAATGAAATGATTAAATAACTAAATAACAAAACAAAAAAATATCTAAACAACATAACATAACATAACATCACGCCTTTTTATCCCCGAAGGGGTAGGCAGAGGTGCACATTTCGGCACTTAATGCCACTGTACAATGTAACACCCACTTTTCACTATTTATGTTAATTATGAGTCCCATGTAATAGGGGGTGAGCACATTTCCAGACTCCGTGCTACCACTGAGATTTTTAAAAAACCCAGTAATACTTTGCCCGGCCCGGGAATCGAACCCGAGACTCCTTGCCCGGCAGTCGGACTTGCGACCACTCGGCCAACGAGGCAGTCTAACCTAATAAGTCTAAACTAATATCTAAACAACTTAACAGCTTAATAATTTAGTAATCTCTAGAGAGTTATAATGTACTTTTTCTGGTTACAGCGGCGCCCTACCACGTGTCACCGTGTGTGGAAACTTCGCAGTGCCGTGCTTTGATCGTGAACTTCGAATGTCGTAAGACCGGCGACAGTAATGGTGAGTAATAATAAACATCCATCCTGTAACGAACTAGTTATGTACTTAACAAAACCTAAGAATCTGAATAGGGTAGGTGCCTAATTTTTGAGCATGCCTATTTAGGAGTATTGCTGGCAAATGTCAACAGTTTGCAGAGCATGCTAATTTTAAGCAAGCTTATAAGCATGCTGTTTTTGAGCACACTGTCGGTACCTTTACTCGAGTCTGCGCGCCCAGCTGTCGTACAATGAGAATATTGCTCATTAATGCCTTTAGCATCCATCAGACCACCACAGATGGGGCCCAATAGGGCCGATGCCGATTCGGAGTCGCGGAGAACCTAACGGGTAACCGGGGCTCCGGCTCGATGTGCAGGAGAAGGAACGGGGTGGTTTTTAGTCAGTAAGAGTCTGACACTCCCTTCCGCCTCACCCAGGCGGGAGCAGTCATTCGATGATTTTCCCCCCTTAAAAAAAAAAAAAAAAATGCCTTTAGCATGGCTTGAAGCCCGAGCGTACGGCGCGTCGCGTTCCGCGCGCGCCTCAAAGAGCCACCAGACCACCACAGATGGGGCCCAACAGGACCGATGCCGATTCGGAGTCGCAGAGAACCTAACGGGTAACCGGGGCTCCGGCTAGACGTACAGGAGAAGGAACGGGGTGGTTTTTAGTCAGTAAGAGTCTGACACTCCCTCCCGCCTCACCCAGGCGGGAATAGTCATTCGATGATTTTCCCCCCTTAAAAAAAGCATGGCTTGAAACTAGTCGAGTTCCTCAAACAGTTACGTGAGTAAGCAGAAAAGATAATAATTAATTTACTTGTTTTCAGTTGGGGAATGCCACTGTCAGGAAGGCAGCCATTACTTTTTGGGTAGATGCTGGAAATCAATGGGTATGGGTGAACAATGTACGCGGAATGAAGAGTGTATGGGAACATTGAGAGATCCCTATAATATGGCTTGTATTGACGGTGTATGCGGTTGCGCTAACGGTTTCTATGAGAGGCAGCGGGGAGAGTGCAGGGCGGGTAGCTTCAGTAAGTAATATATATTTTTTTATATTAATTCTTCATTGTACAATATAGTCAAGGAATAACGGCATCTATCTCAGAAGCAAAGCACACTTGCGTTGTTTTAATTCTATGGAATCCCTCTATAAAATTAAACAAAACGCTTTCATTTTAAACGTAACTAAATTGCCTTTTATACGACATACTTTTTTTTATGGCATAAGCCGGTAAACGAGCAGACGGATCACCTGATGGTAAGCAATCAGCGTTGCCCATGGATACCCGGAACACCGGACGCGTTACAAGTGCGTTACCGGCCTTTTGGGGACTAGGAGTTTGAGGACCGTTGGGGATTCAGGGATTGGGGAGATTGTGGAAGGGGAGGGTAATTGGGCCTCCGGTAACCTCACTCACACGACGAAACACAACGCAAGCTTTGCTTCACGTCGGTTTTCTGCTCGGCCGTGGTATCAGTCCGGTCGAGCCGGCCCATTCGTGCCGAAGCATGGCTCTCCCACACTTATATCGATTATTTTTTCAGATATTGGTGACGACTGTATTTTGCATGAAGATTGTAGATTTGGAAATGGTTATTGCGATGCAACGACATTGAAGTGTGTAGACTCGACTGCATTAACTCCAGCACCTGTCGACGATAATGGACGTAAGTACTACCTACTAAACTAAAACATACTAGCTTCTATGTCGCTTAGGATTTATTGTCATGCAAACTAAATGTGTGTACAAAATTTCAGCACAATCGGTTGACGATATCTGCTTCAAAATTTAGTTGCACGATTCGCACTTCGCATACGCACGCACACACATACACAAACATACATTGCTGCAATTAAATAAGAACCTGTATATATCGACGCCGATTGCTTACCATCAGGTGATCAGTCTGATCATTTACCGTATTAAATCATAAACATTTTTGGTTAAAAATAACTGTCAATCGTCATGTCCTTCTCCTTCTAAGTAATTCAAATCATCGATTCACTCATTGAATTAATCATCACGTGTCATAAAATTGCGAAATCTATTTCGATAGCTGTTTATTATCTACTAATTATAAAGGTATTAAGATAGTGCAATCGTGTGATTTTACATATTACACACGACTTAAAAAAATTTTTTCTTTATACATTCATTATTTATTTATTTACTAGCTTTTACCCGCGGCTTCGCTCGCGTCACAAAAGGATAAAAAGTAGCCTATGTGACATATACCAATACATACAGCGCCATCTATACCAATACTTTTGTTTTCCTCGGGAATATCAAATTTTTTCGGGATAAAAAGTACCCTATTATTTAATCCAGACTACTAACTTTACGTCTGCAAAAAATCAATGCAATCGGTTTAGTAGTTACGGCGTGAAATCGGAACAAACAAACAAAGTCACTTCCCGATTTATAATATTAGTAAGGATTTATTCAAAAGGTACACTAAACAGAAACAGCGCAATACACAACAGTGTAACAACATGGAACTGTAAATGGCAGACCATGCTTCCACAAGTATGTGCACACAACATGACATGCAACGACTAGTAGGTATTTATTTAAAAGATAGTCAATATATATTTTGTTCTTTTCCAGTTCTGATGAAGGGAGCGGCGTTTAAACCAGAAGTTACTGAAGGCAACAACTCCAGTTTAAGTATGACCTCGGTAGCAAGGAACCATGGTAGAGCCTGCAGCTCATCGCAAGATTGTCCCAATATGTTTGAATGTACCGCTTACGGGTATTGTGCCTGTCCACGAGGGTATTATGCTAATGCCGCCGGCACTTCGTGTTTAGCTGGTGAGAATTGTTTTATTTTTATAATAACTATCGTGAAACATACTAAATTAAGTAAAAACGCGGGTTACTCACGTGAATATACTGAGAAAAGCTCTAGTTTCGAACCACAGAGGGGTTCTTCCTCGTGAGCAGCGTGCGCGGTCGCGGCGACGTCGCGCAGCTCTTTATTTAATCTCTTTGACATCACATCAACAGCCTATAAGTGGCGACTACTGACCAAAGGCCTCTTGTCACAGAAGGTTTGAGCATTAATCACCACGCTTGCTCAATGCGGGTTGGCGATTACAAACTTATAATTGGAAATTATAAGTCCAGGTTTCCTCACGATGTTTTCCTTCACCGTTTGTCAGTGGTGTCTGAATAATCTTAGAAAGTACATATAACTCGGAAAAAGTCACATTGGTACTTGCCGTTGGTAGGTTTCGAACCCGCATCCTCATGCATGAGAAGCGGACGTCTTAAACCTCCCGGCCACCATATGTACACTATTATGTACTTTCTAAGATTATTCAGACACCACTGACAAACGGTGAAGGAAAACATCGGTAGGAAACCTGGGCTTCTCCGTGTGAGAAGAGGCTTTGCTCAGCAGTGGGCATTTATAGGCTGTAGATGATGACAACCCTATAGATTTAGACTAAAGGCAAGTATAGCTCACACATAGGACCCACTTAGTTTATAGTCAATTTTCCGTGGTGTTTGGCGACTGGGCTTTACACAGTTGTACAGTCTCTTTTTTATGCTGATTCACTTCGTTGCGGGAACTAAGACAGTTACTAATGTTCCGGTGTTTTCATGGTTGTATCTACTGTAGATCCTGGCTTAGACTAAATACATTTTTATTTTTCATACCCCATCATCATTCCTATTTTAAATGTTTTTATTATTTCCAGAACTGGGATCTCCATCAACAAATAACCAATGTTCAGGGTTTATAGCTGCAGTCCAAGACGGAATCTGCCGGTGTCCAAAGAACTTCTATTATAATGAAAATATGAGGGATTGTGTCAAAGGTAAGTTACATCATATTACGAAACTTTTTTTTACTTCTCATTTAAGAAGAATATTTTTTATTTTAAAAGGCTTCATGCACACACTAATATACAAAGTAAGTAGGCTTAATGCCTAGGCATTCTCTTCCAACCACACCTTTGGGTGATGCAGAGACAAAAACAATGGTCGATGCAAGAAGCAAGCGTATTCAAGGTTGAGAGAAATAGACTTATATAAAACTAGCTTTTACCCGCTGCTTCGCTCGCGTCACAAAATGATAAAAAGTAGCCTGTGACATATACCAATACACACAGCGCCATCTAGACTAATACTTTTGTTTTCCCTCGGGAATATCAAAATTTTCCGGGATAAAAAGTACCCTATTATTTAATCCGGACTTCTATCTTTACGTCTGCAAAAATTCAAAGCAATCGGTTTAGTAGTTACGGCGTTAAAGTGGAACAAACAAACAAACAAACAAACTCACTTTCTGATTTATAATATGTATTTTTATTAGATTTGATAACTTTAATAATGATATGTAATTTTTAATTATGTTGGTGAATGATGTATAGCATTTTCCTATTTTTGATTTTATATATTGTTAGTTTAGTTGGTGTTGGTTTGTATTGTATATTTGGTTCTTAGCTATCGCATTAGGGTATATGATGCCCTGTAATGATAGTTTAAGGTGTTCTTAAATATAAATAAATAAAAAATAATATAAGTAAGAATAAATACATAAACTTACATGTATATGTCACAACAATAAACTCACGAAATTATATTACATATATTTATGTGATTTTTTTGGGTTAAATCGCATATTTATAAAAAATATTTAAAATAAAAAGCCCAAGTTTCCCCGCAAACATAATATATATTTTATGTTTCAAAATTTAGTTGTACGATTCCACTTCGCAAATATTACAAGACGATATAAGTGTAAAAGAAGTTTTTAATTAAATTATAGACAAACTAGCTTTTACCCGCGGCTTCGCTCGCGTCAAAAAATGATAAAAAGTAGCCTGTGACATATACCAACACACATAACGCCATCTATAGATAACTGACAAATTTGAAATTTTTCGGGGATAAAAAGTACTCTATTATTTAATCCGGACTTCTAACTTTACGTCTACAAAAATTCGTCACGAAAGTTACAATACAAACCCAGTAATACTTTGCCCGACCCGGGAATCGAACCCGAGACCCCTTGCTCTGCAGTCGCACTTGCGACCACTCAGCCAACGACCAGTCAGTTGTGGTTGGGGAAAAGAACCGAAAATTCTACATAAGCATCACCTGGTCAATCAAAAAAATGGTAGCCCTTTAAATGTGATTATTACGTTAATTGTAATTATAATATACACATACACTAGCTTTTACGCATATTTACTTGGATTGTTTGTTTTAAGCTACTTAAATGTGTACAATAAAGCATCCTTACTAATATTATAAATCTGAGTTTGTTTGTTTGTTCCACCTTCACGCCGTAACTACTCAACCGATTGCTTTGAATTTTTGCAGACGTAAAGTTAGAAGTTCGGATTAAATAATAGGGTACGTTTTAACCCGGAAAAAATTGATATTCCCGAGGAAAAACAAAAGTATTGGTATAGATGGCGCTGTGTGTATTGGTATATGTCACATAGGGTACTTTTTATACTTTTGTGATGCGACCGAAGCCGCGGGTAAAAGCTAGTATATAAATAAATAAATAAATAAATAAATATATAAATAAATAAATAAATAAATAAATAAATAATATAACCTTTGTTCCAGCTACACGTCGTTTCACTGACGCTTGTGTTAATGACGAAATGTGTCATACATTCGGTGCATCAGCGCGCTGCGGGGAACCTGGACAGTTTGAATTGAGGTCTTGCGAGTGTATCCCTGAAGAGGCTGTCTGGGATGCTAACAGACAAATCTGTAGATTATTTGCTGGTAAGTCATCATTGTTACATGTATAGTCTGTATCAACATCACTAATTAGTAAGTAGTGCCCCCCTCACTATAATGTGTGTAACGTTGGGCTTTATATTGCAGCCTCTACGTCAGGGTGTGAGATGGAAATCAGGTTCGAATGCGCGAAAACTATAGTGAAAACGTTTATTAACTGAACAGATGTCTATAAAACTACACAAACAGGGGTTAACTTAAAATTAGTTAATGTAACTGGGTGCCTCGCGGAATAGCGGCTATGCGCTCTTGCGGCTAGTTGTCCACTGTCGTTGGCGGGGGTTCGCTTTCACTCCGTTAAGGGTGCGTCCGAGCAAAGACAATAAAGGACCCTTGCGCCACATCTGGGCCGCAGCTGGGCGGTGGTATGTCTCGCCGCCGTAAGGCATACGCCCAAACCTAACCCTCGTGTTACATGTGTTATATAAATTAAATTAGTCCGTAATTAGGGTAATGAAAAAAATATTAGACACGTATTTTTTTATTGTGTCATATAATAAAACAATACTTAGATAAAACGAATCAACGTTTTAAAACGTCATTTCTACGTATAAAATGTACATAGAAGTGACGTCACGCGACATTTCAAATCAATATATCGTCGACAGTATTCGTTTCTGTAAGAAAATAAAAAATACGTGTCTAATGATTTAAAATAATCTATCAGACGGACGTTGAAATAGAAATTAGGCATCTACCCTATTGCTGTGCCTAGCAGGTTTCGCGACGGTGTGATGGCCTTGTAACTCCTGACCATCCACTGCTGGAGTACGAACCTCCTCTAGAAAAGCGAGGTGTACTACAATCTCTTCATTTCGTAGGAGAGTTGAAGTCTCAGTTTAAAACATGACATGAAAACTTAACGTGTATACAAAATCAGCCCAATCACCTGATGGTAAGCAATCGGCGTCGCCCATGGACACCTGGAACACCAGAGGCGTTACAAGTGCGTTACCGGCCTTTTGGGGATTAGGAGTTTGAGGATCGTTGGGGATTCAGGAATTGGGGAGATTGGGGAAGGGGGGTGTAATTGAGCCTCCGGTAACCTCACTCACACGACGAAACACAACGCATGCGTCGCTTCACGTCGGTTTTCTGCTCGGCCGTGGTATCACTCCGGTCGAGCCTGCCCATTCGTGCCGAAGCATGGCTCTCCCACACTTAAAATATCGATAGTTAGAACATATCTGCTTCAAGATATCTTACAGACTCACTCTCTTATAGACTGCATGGTTGGTGCGGTGGCTGTGCAACCGGCTGCCGTGCAACGTGTCGCGGGTTCGATTCCCGCACGGAACAACACTTTGTGTGATCCATAAATTGTTGTTTCGGGTCTGGGTGTCATGTATGTGAACTTGTATGTTTGTAAACGCACCCACGACACAGGAGAAAATCCTAATGTGGGGCAATGTTTTTTTAAAGAAAAAAAATTAAAGATTTAAATGCAAGATTCCACTTCACACACACTTATAGTGCAACTTAAATACAAACCTTCTTATTTTTCAGGTATTGGGGAATATTGTGAGGTGAACAGCGACTGCTTAGCTGGTAACATGGAGATCCTCTGTGTACATGAAAATAGTGATGAAAGTGGAGAGACTGGTGATGTAGCTGGTGGTGTATGCTCCTGTCCTGACGGATTCTCTAACGTCGGTGGACTGTGTCTTACTACTGGATTATGTAAGTACTAGCTTTTACCCGCGGCTTCGCTCGCGTCACAAAAGAATAAAAAGTAGCCTATGTGACATATACCAATACACACAGCGCCATCTATACCAAAACTTTTGTTTTTCCTCGGGAATATCAATTTTTCCGGGTTAAAAAGTACCCTATTATTTAATCTGGACTTCTAACTTTACGTCTGCAATAATTCAAAGCAATCGGTTGAGTAGTTACGGCGTGAAGGTGGAACAAACAAACAAACAAACTCACTTTCAGATTTATAATATTATAATATATAGTAAGGATAATACATGTGTTTTTAAAGGGGGAATAATCTTCGAATGTCTACTCTTTGGGTGGAATGGTGTTAGACTCTTACTGACTAAAAACCCTTTCGTTCCAACTCCTGATTCAAGCCGGAATCCTGGTATTTTTCAATAGCTTCCATCGGAATAATATATGTATATTGTATGCCACAGTATTGTAGTTTATTTTTAAGTCACAATAGTGTAGAGGAGACGTAAACACATTTGAATAACGATGATAAAAACCTGTAGCAAAGGTGAATGGGTGAAAGACACTGCAATATAATTAGGTTGCTGCATTTATCTGATATCATATAATCTAAAATATTTAAAAATACTATCTAAAGGCATCAAAAAAAAAAATTCCCTCATCGCTATCATGAGGTGGGGTACCCAAAAGACTGGCAGCATTGCCACGTTGAATGGCCTTTACCCAAGGTAGTGGCCCTAACGGGTAACCGGGGCTCCGGCTCGACGTGCAGGAGAAGGAACGGGGTGGTTTTTAGTCAGTAAGAGTCTGACACTACCTCCCGCCTCACCCAGGCGCGAGCAGTCATTCGATGATTTTCCCCCCTTAAAAAAAAAAACCCAAGGTAGTGGCCAGCTCTTCGATCACCTGAAGTGTCAATTGTAATTAATCCTTATTTCTTTCAGCTCTTGGCGACGCATGCCAAGCGTCTATTGAGTGTGTAGATACTGTACATGCGGATTGTATAGAAGGATTCTGCTCATGTCGTGAAGGATTTCAGGCCGTAGATGGAACATGCGCACCACGTAAGTCTAAAAATCAAGATTTAATAATAATCCCAAAAACTCTCCACAATAGCTTAAAGTCTTTAAATATTAGCCCAGCAACTTATCTTCTTCTACAAAAAGCAGTAATTTTGAATACGTGCCGCTTAACCCGAAAGTTCTTAAATTCATAGTTTTATCACAATTTTATTTACGCACTTGGCTTCGGCCCGTGCTTTAGAACCCCACTAAGATGGGAGAAACATAAAATATGACAAGAAATAAATAATAATAATAATTTATTTATTTATTCAGATAATACAATCCATATGGTTAGTAAAGACATCTACAACTTATAAACTAGTATTAGTACATCAAACCTCATCATATAAAATTAAAATAACTTGTCATAATATGTAATAATAATATAATGATAATTTAGTAACAATACTGCTGACTACTTCTGGGCACGGTTTGTAGGCAACACTTGCGTCTTCGTCCAGTTTCGTTTCGTTCCGTTTAAATCATAGTCAATAATCAAAAGTCTATATTCAAAAGTATAGAAACCTTTAAGAGTCGATACTTGATTATTTGATAGCAGATAATCAAGTGTGGTACGTTTTTTTAAGTCCTAAACCGGTAAACGAGCTGACGGATCACCTGATGGTAAGCAATCTGCGCCGCCCATGGACACCTTGAGGAGTTACAATTACGTTGGGGATTAGGAATTTGGGGATTGTTCGGGATTTAGGTATTAGTGAGATTGGATTGGGGGGATTGAGCCTCCGATAACCTCACTCACACGACGAAACACAACGCTGTAGTTGTTTCACGTCGGTTTTCTGCTCGGCCGTGGTATCAGGTCTCAGGACTCAGGTCGAGGTGGCCCAGCAGGGCCGAAACTCCCACCTATTACATGGGATATACGACATAACTAGTGAAAATTTGGTGTTTATTTTTTGAGGGGAAAATCATCCATTTCTTTGTTAGCGCTCCCCAAACGTGAACACAAAGAAATTGGTTTTTACAATTGTAATCGCTTCAGTTTCATTAATTGATTTGACAGTTGATTATAATTGTTACTTCCGCGCGGTTTCACACGCTCTGCTCAGCTCCTATTGGTCGTAGCGTGATGTTTTATAGCCTATAGCCATCCTCGATAGATGCGCTATCCAACACAAAAAGAATTATTCAAATCAGACTTGTAGTTACGGAGATTAGCGCGTTCAAACAAACAAACAAAAAGACAAACTCTTCCGCTTTATATAATAAGTATAAGATAAAAGATATATTTAATTCCTTACTTTTATGAAAACCTGCCTCGTCCTAGTGGTCGCAAGTGCCGGGCAAGGGGTCTCGGGTTCGATTCCCGGGTCGGGCAAAGTACACTGGGGTTTTAAAAAAATTCTCAGTAGTAGCACGGAGTCTGAAATTGTGGCCGGTATATGGCAATAGCCTCACCCCCTATTACATGGGACTCGTAACATGAATAGTGAAGTTTGTGTAACATTGTACAGTGGCATAATGCAAACCTCTGCCTACCCCTTTGGGGATAAAAGGCGTGATGTTATGTTATGTTTTATGAAATTAAAGCTTGTTTTTTGACCATCATCTGTCGGCATTTCTAATGTCCGTTCTTTTTACATTCTGTGTGTAGGTACTCTTATATATTCCTTCAAAAACTTATTTGTTTTTTATTTCAGTTATTGGCAGCATCTGTAATAGTGACTATGAATGTGTCACAGGACACTCATTTTGCAATCTAGACAGCCACACATGTGAATGCGCGCAAGGGTACGTGGGATATGATTACGTATGCTGGCCACGTAAGTATCAAAATTGCTTGCTATATCTTATACTAGCTATTTCCGCGCGGTTTCACACGCTCTGCTTAGCTCCTATTGGTCGTAGAGTGATGTTTTATAGCCTATAGCCTTCCTCGATAAATGGGATATCCAACACAGAAAGAATTTTTCAAATCGGACCCGTAGTTTCGGAGATTAGCGCGTTCAAACAAACAAACAAACTCTTGCGCTTTATATAATAGTATAAGAGTATAAGATATAAGATTTACACAGCGTACATTTGGGAGGGAGGGGGGAATCATCCAATGATTTCTCCTGCTTTGGGTGAGGCGAGAGGGAGTGTTAGACTCTTACTGACTAAATACCACACCGTTCCTAGTCCTACTTCTAACTTTTTTAAACGAGCAGACGAATCACCTGATGGTAAGCAATCGGCGCCGCCCATGGACACCTGGAACACCAGAGGCGTTACAAGTGCTTTACCGGCCTTTTGTGATTAAGAATTTGAGGATTGTTGGGGAGTCAGGGAGGGATTGGGAAAAGGGGAGAGGGTAAGGGCCTCTGCTAACCTCACTCATACGACGAAACACAACGCAAGCGTTGTTTCACGTCAGTCTTCTGTGAGGCCGTGGTATCACTCCCGTCAAGCCGGCCCACACTTAAGCAGCTATCAAAAGCACTTAATCTCAGCAGTTATCGAATAGTGCAATAATAGTAAATATAATAGTTAGTAGTTAGGTTTCTTAAGGGTCGGCAAAACGCATGTAATGCCCCAAGTGTTGCGGGCGTACATAGGCCACGGTAACCGCTTACCATCAGGTGGGCCGTGCTTTTGACGTGACAACGTCTTATAAATTGGTTTGCCGGGTGACACTTCAAGAAACTGCGTTACGCTCCGCTCACAATGAGAGCGAGTGAGAGGCACGCGTCCCTTCCACTCGGGCATGGTTAGCCCGCCTAAGAGCGAGAGAGACAGAGCGAGAGAGAGAGAGAGAGAGAGAGATACGCAAATTATTTTACCACTCAAAGTCGTTGTCACGTAAAACTTTCGCCCGTATACTGACTTTACAGGCAACCAATTTTTTTGCCACCGTCGTAGTATAAAGAATAGTGCGCGTCAGTAACCATGATTCTATGTTTCAGACCTGATACATCCCAGCGCACCATGCAGAGTCACAGCGCAATGTACCGTTACCACAGGAGCTGCCAGCTCTTGCGAAGAAGGAAGATGCGTTTGCTTTGAAGGGTACCATCTACGGGACGGGCACTGTTGGCCCAAGACTGGTGAGAAAGACTTATTTTTAACTGATTTAAAAAGAGGTTCTCTGTTTGACCTGTATGTATGTATGTGTGTGCGTGAATATCTCGCAATGTGCTGAACTGATTTTGATGGGACACATGGGACATGGGGAAAAGTGTGTTACACTTAGGAGAAGGTTATAATATTTTTATAATAACTATCGTGAGACATACTTAATTAACTAAAATCGCGGGTTACTCACGTGAATATACTGATAGATTGACGCAACGTTGCCGCTCCGTGGACATAATTTTAACTGTTTTTACACAAGGTGAAGAATAAAACATCATCGCATTGAATATCTAACTAAATGATTGAACGAATGAATGAGTGAATGAATGAAAGATTGAGTGATTGAATGATTGATAAAAGACGAATGAATGAATGAATGAAATGCAATATTTTTTACTGGATTTTTTATTTATATTCATGATAATTTCAGGTTTATTCGAGCCGTGTTCGCGAAGTAGCGAGTGTTTCTTAGCAAATATTACAGACAGAGTACAATGCAGAAATAGTCTGTGCCAGTGTTCATTTGAATTTCCTTATTCTGAAGAATTAGGGACGTGCAGTAAGTATTACTTTTTATTAATTCATCATTATCAATGGACTATAAATACCCACTGCTGAGCAAAGCCTCTTCTCATACGGAGAAGGTTTGAGCATTATTCACCACGCTTGCTCAATGCGGGTTGGCGATTACAGACTTATAATTTAGAAATTATAAGCCCAGGTTTCCTCACGATGTTTTCCTTCACCGTTTGTCAGTGGTGTCTAGATAATCTTAGAAAGTACATACAACTCAGAAAAAGTCACATTGGTACTTGCCGTTGGTACGTTTCGAGCCCGCGCACTCATACATGAGAAGCGGGCGTCTTAACCTCCGGGCCACCACGACTTATAACGTTACGACACTATATAATATTATTCTTTCTGTTTCAGTGTCATCAGCTACGACTTCAGTTGGAAGTCTCTTCATGACCGTTTTAGCTTTAATCTATGTTAAATTAAATTATTAAATGATTTGGCATCATCAATAACAAGTCAGTGATAGTGCACTGTTGGATGAGAAGCTATTACAGGGTTTATTATTAACATTTATGCAGTGGCGTAGCGTATCTTGGCGGGGCCCCGTATAAAAATTTGTTTTGGGGCCCTTATGAAAGGTAACAAAAACTCAGAAGAGATTTTTTTTACAGAATATTGTAAAAAGCTTTCTTTTTTATGGTTTTTTTTCTTTCTTTCTGGTTTTACGTTAAAACCGGATAGCCTTCGAGGTAACTCACTCTGCCCAATTATCGGACAATGATTAGGTACTTTAGTTTTTCCAAAGTTTCTGCGTGGAATAGATTTCTCTATTCCATGGTTTCTGCCAACCTTTGAACGCATGCATTTTGTGATTACTGAAATAAAAAGTAAATTGAGAAGTTTTTATATTTTTACTTACACACTTTGTGGGCCCCCGTATTCTGGGGCCCAATATGATTGATACGCCAGATACGGTGCTAGCTACGCCCCTGCATTTATACTAGCTATACTCAACAGTACCGTCATTAGCATAAGGGCACTTGGGACCCGTGCCTAGGCCCCATATTCTCAGGGGCCCCCAATGGGTCGACAATTGAGTACTTGCCTTAATCAAAAATAAATGATTTCGATTGTTCAATACAATAAAATATTTTAAAAATCAGACTATCATCAATTGATTTTATGACCAACTTAATTTTAGTATTTTTCCAGCAAATTGTGTACTTGCCAACTAGTCGAATTCAATACGATTTTTTCGAACTGTCAAAAACGACAGTTTACTATGAATTTTGTACGAGATTGTGTATTGTGACGTCACGTTTTTTGAGCGTCAAACCGTATACTTTTTCTTAAAAAATTTGCTGGTAAAATACTAAAATTATGTTGGTTTTAAATCAATTAATGAAAGTGTGATTTTATTTTTATATCTTATTGTATTGAACAGTCGAAATAATTTATTTTTGAAGGATAGTACCCAATTGTATAAAAATACTTTTTGTATCGTAATCGTCGTCATAGTGAGAATTTTCCAAATATATTGTTTAAGTTATTGTTTTAAGTTTAATATTTGTAAATATACTCATATGTTTTATACATTTAGTTGTTTTATTTTCCTCCTCTTGATGTGAAGAATCCTGCAAAAATGTTAATGTAAATATAAAAAGTTTGTTACTTTTTTAAAACAAACTTCTAATCTCCTAATCCCCAAAAGGACAGTAACGTACTTGTAACGCCTCTGGTGTTCCGTTCCATCAAGTGATGTGTTAGCTCGTTTACCGGCTTAACTTATAAAAAAAAGAAAACTAAAACTGTCGTGCAAGGGACCTCGGGTTCGATTCCCGGGTCGGGCAAACTATTACTGGCTTTTTTTTAATTTTCATAAGTAGCAGGGAGTCGGGAACTGTGCCCGGTAAATGGCAATAAGCTCACCCCCTATTACATGGGATGGGACTTATAACATAAATAGTGAAAAGTGGGCGTTACATTATACGGAAAGAACTCAAAAAGTACTGCATGGATTTATTTCAAATTTTGCATGAATACTACTAACAGGTCGGTTCAATATATAGGGTACATATTATCATGCTATTAACTACGGGGGAGGAGCTCATTATTTTACGCGGACGAAATCACGGGCTCAGCTAGTTTTAAATAAAATAAAATAAAATAATAGAATGTTTCAATTGATGGCTATTTAATATTAGGTAGTAAACACGTAACATTCAAATTATATATTTTATACGAACCAACGTCATTAATTATTGTACAAAAAGTATATTAAAAATATATTATTCTTACGACAGTTTTGCATGCTTTAAAACCTTGTTCATTGCTTGGTAACTTGTGTGGTTGTCGAGCAAACACCCCTTGTTTGAATCCCGGGGTGCAAAGTGTTATTGAGTGTATTTTTAGAGCTCCTACACAAAACTGCGATGCGACGTCGCATCGCAAAAATGTGCGAGCTCCCTCTACGCATCGCTAGAACTAGCGAATGGATTCGCATCGCGCATCAAAATCTTATCTTACCAATATCTTCTTTGTTTCTTTTTCTTGTATCTCCTAAGCAATAACAGAAGTGCACACTTCTGTTTACGATCCATATCACGATCTAGTTTTTAATTTAAAATACGTTTAGTACGGTTGACGGTCGTCGAAGGAATGGTCACCCTGGGAGACGCCTTGTCGCACGAAATCGCATCGCAGCAATTCGCATCGTAATTTTCTGCGTAGCGAATTCGTATCACATCGCATCCCAGTTTTATGTATGTACGAGACGAGGCCTTAAAGCTTATTTGATTGGGCCACGCTATTACCTCTAAAATCCCATGCAACTCCAGTAAGCTAGGATCTACAGAAGATACCACCATGGAAATACTGGAACACTAAATTCCGGCTCGACCGGATTGATACCACTCCTTCACCGAAAACCGAGGTGAAACAGTGCTTGCATTGTTTTCCGTCGTGTTAGTGAGGTTATCGGAGGCCCAATTACTGCCCTCCCCCCTTTCCCAGTCGCCTCAATCCCTCAATCTCAACAATCCTCAAATTTCTAATCCCCAAAAGGCCGGTAACGCACTTGTAACGCCTCTGGTGTTCCAGGGGTCCATGGGCGACGCTGATTGCTTACCATCAGGTGATCCGTCTGCAATTAATATTAGAAGATTCGAAAAAACGGAAAATGATAATTTACAATATGTACACAAGTGTTTAAGGAAAATATCTGCAGCACCTGTCTACATATAAAGTACCCATATGGTATAAAAACTACGTAATGGTACGGGTGGCCCACATTTTGCAAAATTGTACAATTCAATAGGTACCAGGAAAACATAACATAAAATAACATCACGCCTTTTATCCTCGAAGGGGTAGGCAGAGGTTCACATTATACCACTGTACAATGTAACACCCACTTTTCTCTATTTATGTTATGAGTCCCATGTAATAGGTTGAGCCTACTGCCATATACCGGGCACAGTTCCAGACTCCGTGCTACAACTGAGAATTTTTAAAAACCCAGTAATACTTTGCCCGACCATGGAATCGAACCCGAGACCCCTTACCCGGCAGTCGCAATTGGTGACCAGTCGGCCAACGAGTCTGTCTATTAACAGTACAAGGAAAACGTAGCGTATATAGTTTACTAGCTGTTGCCCGCGACTTCGTCCGCGTAGATTAATGACTTCTGACAGAATTAACCAGAATCAATTCAGTGCCCAAGTAAGATTTACCTATTTTGAAATGATTTATCGTAGTTTCAATAAATAAATAATCCCGCAGGGATCTTACCAGTACAGTGCCCGATCACGTAAGGTTTGAGTAATAAAAACTATTCTATCGACTATTGTTGTACCGAATCTCTCTAGAATAAGTTCAGTGGTTAAGAGTTAGACAGTCCCGGGGCATTGACGCATAGATCCCGTTCTCGTGAGACATCTGTGAAAAAACTATCATACGTTACCCAGGTCCTAAATCATCGTTTTACCGAAAGTAATTCAAAAAGATTCAATGATTCTAAATTCAACGGCTAAGAAGATTTATACAAACTCTCATTCCCTATTTTATCCCCTTAGGGGTGGAATTTATCAAAATCCTTTCTAAAGAGATACCTATGTCATAGTAACTTTATGCATGCAAAGTCTCAGCCCGATCAATTTAAAACTGGCAAAGTATCATACAAACTTTCACCCCTTATTTTACCCACTTTGGGGTGAGAATGTTCAAAAACCTTTCTAAAGGGACGTTTACGTCATAATATCGATCGGTGTAAAACTGACAAAGCTTCATACAAACGTTCATCCCCTATTTTACCCCCTTAGGGGTGGAAATTATCAAAATCCTTTCTTAGCGGTTGCCTATGTAATAACATCTATCTGCATGTCAAATTTCAATCCGATCGATTTAAAACTGACAAAGTCTCATACAAACTTTCATCCCCTATTTTACTCCCTTGGGGGTGGAAATTATCAAAATCCTTTCAAAGCGGATGTTTACGTCATAACATCTATCTGCATGCCAAATTTCAACCTGATCGGTTTAAAACTGACAAAGGCTCATATAAACTTTCATCCCCTATTTTACCCACTTGGGGGTGGAAATTATCAAAATCCTTTCACAGCGGATGCCTACGTCATAACATCTATCTGCATGCCAAATTTCAACCCGATCGATTTAAAACTGACAATGTCTCATACAAACTTTCATCCCCTATTTTACCCACTTGGGGGTGGAAATTATCAAAATCCTTTCACAGCGGATGCCTACGTCATAACATCTATCTGCATGCCAAATTTCAACCCGATCGATTTAAAACTGACAACGTCTCATACAAACTTTCATCCCCTATTTTAGCCCCTTGGGGGTGGAAATTATCAAAATCCTTTCAAAGCAGATGCTTACGTCATAACATCTATCTGCATGCCAAATTTCAACCCGATCGGTTTAAAACTGACAAAGTCTCATACAAACTTTCATCCCCTATTTTACCCCCATTGGGGGTGAAAATTATCAAAATCCTTTCACATCGGATGCTTACGTCATAACATCTATCTGCATGCCAAATTACAACCCGATCGGTTTAAAACTGACAAAGTCTCATACAAACTTTCATCCCCTATTTTACCCCCTTGGGGGTGGAAATTATCAAAATCCTTTCACAGCGGATGCTTACGTCATAACATCTATCTGCATGCCAAATTTCAATCCGATCAGTTAAAAACTGACAAAGTTTCATACAAACTTTCATCCCCTTTTTTACCCCCTTGGGGGTGGAAATTATCAAAATCCTTTCTTAGCAGATGCCTACGTCATAACATCTATCTGTATGCCAAACTTTAGCCCAATCTGTCCAGCGGTTTGGGCTGTGCGTTGATAGATCACTATGTCAGTCAGTCAGTCAGTCAATCACCTTTGAATTTTATATATATAGTTTATTAACAGACTCCAAAAGGAAAAAAAGGTTCAATCAGTGAAATCAGTTTGACTTGCATGT